ACACTATAGAAATAAGTAATACAATTTATGTGTAAAAAACCCAAACAAATTGTTATGTTTTTTAAATAACAGAACTTTTCATGCTACTTTGCTATCTCTGTAACATTTCTTGTTCCCAAGCATCTGGACTCCACTCCAGACTTCACCTGTGTTGATTCATGGCTTTTCAAATGGAAAGCTTCTTTTCCAGGTCTCATACATTAAGTAGAGTTCATTATGTCCTGCAGAAAAGAAGGTGGTAGGTGGATCCCTCACAGATCCACCTTTCTCTTGAGCCTTTGCCCTGCCAGCTCAAAGGCATGCTCTCAATCTCTCTGTTGGAAACACAAATGGCAAAACTACTGTTTCTGCAGAATCCTGAAGGCCTCCCAGTTGTCCAGAGATAACAGATGGATCTGCTAGGCTGCTGCTGATTCTCACTCTGCCCTGCTTCCATCTGGTGCAGAAATTTGATTTCATTTCAATAACAGGCAGTGAAACACAACACCAAATCCTCCTCCAATTTCCTTTTGCACAGCAATGTTTAACAGCAAGTGAAGCAAAAAGGATTTTGGAGATCAATATCAGTGCAATATTGATCTGTATGAACATAATCATCTATTGTTTGTTTGTAACATCCCAACACAGAAATCAGGATTTCACTACATGAGCTGCTGCTATACAACCTCAGAGCAAAAAAGATAATCCCTCCCTCAGAGGGATCCCTTGATAAGTTTTTCTTTTTACTCCTGTACTAGGTCTGGCTGGGATGGGGTTAATTTTCTTCATAGCAGCCCATATGCTGCTGTGTTTTGGATTTTTATATCTGAAATGGTGTTGCTAGTACACAAGTGTTTTGGCTATTACACAGTAGTGCTTGCACAGCCTACGGGTTTTCTCTTTTTGCTGCTCTGCCCCCTCAGTGAGTAGGTTGCAGATGCTCAAGAAATTGGGAGGTAAGGCAACCAGGACAGCTGGAACAGACTGACCAAAGGGATGTCTAAGGGGATTCAGAGAAATAATCCCAGTGCAGTTTCAAACTTGCTCCTTTCCAGAACTAGCTTAAACCTGAGATGGAAAGGTACTGCAAGTCTGACAGTAAAACATCACTGATTATATTAGTATGCATATTATCATCAGAATACAGAATTACATATTACTTTGGAACATGGAAATTCATTTTATATAGAAATTTAAATTTTGGCCACAGTCACAGCCCGTTAGTGAAGCTTATATTCTCTTTTGAATAGAAGCCTCATTCCTCACATCCTGGACCAAAGCTTGCTTCAGATCCCTTCAATTTTAGGTAATATTCCCTCACTAAAGGATATAAGGCAGTTCAGTACTAGCTTTGACCTACATACTAGAGGCCTATGATGAAGTAGCCACTGCTGTGCCTCCCAGCATCCCTGAAATACCTTAGTCCCTTCTCTAAAGCCCTCCTCTCACCAAGCCCCCATTGAGACTCTCCTGGGTTTGCCCACTGCATTGTAAAGCACTTGCCACAGACTTCATGGCACTGCTTGTAGAAGAGCTCTGTGACTGCTTTGTGATTCCCCCTTGCAGCAGCAACATGCATTGGAAAGCCAAGACATAGGTACATCATATGAGACTTGCCCAATGTCAAGAGTGGAGAGAGAAACATGTTTCTTCATCCTTTAAGACTCTTTGAATTGTTTTCACATTCAAAATAATGAGAATCTTAAATGGTTTTGTGACTTGCAAAACTTGTGAATCATGTCAATTTACGTTTTGGTAATTAACTCCACATTTGGCCTTTTAGTTTTAAAACTAAATTAGCATTTAAAAAAATCAGAACCATTGTCATTTAAAAAAAGAAAATAAGATACTGTAATAATTTCAAAACAGGGGAATTCAAATGTAATGAAAAAGCTGGCAAAGGATTACTTTTGTTCTCTGGAAAAAAGCTTTCCATTTCAACAAATCATAATTTTTCCACAGAAAAAGCCTCTCTGGCCAACTCAACTATACATTGAATAGAGTACTTTGCGATGTGACATGTTCCTTTGGTTTCTGTAGTTTGGAAGGCAGAGGCTACTCATTCTGGAGTCTAAAACTCTGCCTGAAAAGAAAGAGCAAGTATGTCACTCCAGTAATAGGATATGAAGGAGTCTTGTGTAGCATGTGTCCTGCCCATTTTGTATTTCCTTTGCTTGCTGCTTTCAGAGAGGAGATACAGGTTGGTATATGGATGGTATATCAGAATGGTCTTCAGCACACCCTTTTCTTGTCCATTGCACTCTCTGTTCTGAGCATGGAGTCTAGTCCTTGGGGAGCAGCTCTGTGGGGTTTCAGGAAATCAAAACTGAGAGCAATAACAACACTCTGAAATCCAAACATATAAAGAAGAGATTTGCTGTGTCTGCAAATGGACCTTCAGCGAATTTCATTCTTAACTTTGAATATTTGGGGTTAATGACACGGTCCACTGGCAGATCAGTAACACAGCAATTCTCATTCTTCTTGCTGTAACCCCTTTACCAGCGGGCTCTGATTGCTTTGAGGTCTTTGGGTTTGACATCTTGATCAATGACAAATTCAAGCCATGGCTTGATGAGAAGTCAACTACAGTCCAGAACTGTGTTTAGAATGATGACACTGTGGAAAGAAAACTTCTTCATGATATTGTTATACTGCTGAACTACAAGTAGATTGACATTTTGAGGCAAAATCAGTTTCGAGGCAAGACTGGGATAAAGGGTGGCAGAAGGTGGATGCTCTGGAGCACAGCTAGTGAGAGTACCATTGAGGAGACTCCTGGTTTCCTTGCTTGCAAAACAGTGGCTAAATTTACTGCTGCTTCTTTTGTACAGCCTGCCCTACAGGCTGCAAGAGGATCAATTCAAAAGCTGGCTACCCTGACAGAGAAAACTGCCAGAGCACATCCAGGAAAATGCTGACTTCTCAGCTGCAGGAGAGGGTGAGCAGGCCAAAGATATCCTCCCAAGCAAAAGCTGAAACTAGAAATAACCAATTCCCAGGAGCTGGGCATTCTGCATGCTTTTTATGTCTCCTCCTTTTCAAGCCACATTTTTGCCCCTTATTTCATTAATTCCTTTGCTATTATATTATAAAATATCACTTGAAAAACATATCTTGGTAAAAGCAATGGCAAGACACAGGTTGGCGAAAGTACTGTGAAATCTTTGGTAGTCTCACCCTTTGATTTCACCAACTAAAGGTTTGCTGTTGATTTGCCAGAAAGTAGAACTGCACTTGCAGGAAGCATTTGATTCCGGAATAATTTGGCCTCCACACCTGCATAGGTGTAATGCACAGGGGATATGCACAAGTCAGTCTCTAAAACTATGCATGCAACAATGCGTGCGTGGAAACACCTTGCTGATGTTTCCTTTCACCATGCTGATGCATGCAGCACAGTTGAGAATGCTTAACAAAGCAAGGAGCAAGCAGCATACAAACCAAATTGTTCCTTATTTAATTTACAATTAGAATGGATAATATACACGGGTTATTGAATGGCAAACAGTGATTTAAGGCTAAACAAATCCTGTTTTCTGTATTACTATAGAAACAAAGAGAATGTCAGCATATTAAGTGGTGAACCTTTTGTTAAAAAGAATTCCTGGAAATAAAAACAGTGGTCCTTTAGAAGACATTAGTATCACTTCTAGCTTACCAGACAAACTGAAAACAGTAATAACATTCTTTTTTTTCAGCATGGTTAATTAAGAAAAAAATCAACATAAATTAGTTTTGGTCAGCATAATGCAGCAGTGAACTGAAATTCTTACTGAAACACATGGAAAAGAATGATATTTTGGTTTTATTTTAATTAGAGTTTCCTTTCACAAGCCACATAAGTTATATTAAATATTTCACTAGAAAAAAGCACAGGTTTATAAATTGTTCCTTTGTTACACAGGAGTAAAGGAAAACAACGCATTTTAATATCACATGAGCTGACATCAAACTGCATGGATGCTCCCGGCATCATGATCAAATTAATAAACTGAAGGATGTGTATGATCAATATTAGCAACACTTCTTGCTCTATTCAATCTATTTCTTCCAAAGATGCTCTGTAACTTGAATGGTGATTCATTGATAGTCCGACCCACTGGAAACTGAAGAGAAGAAAGAGCAATTCCATAATCTTGAAATTATTTTGCACTTAGGTGTGAGAAACGGCTGAAGCAGCATGTTATGAAAGTGTTTGTTGCTACAGGAATTTATGGAGGGCATAAGGAGATAATTGGTCTTCTCAGTCAGTGGGCAGGTAGTGAGCTGAGCTCTACAGAGTAAATGCGTCAGTGCTTTGGAAAAATTCAGGACAGATGAAGGACAGGTAGTCTGGAGGGAAAGCAGTTGAAAGCATCATCTGATAAATGATTAATCCTCCTAGGTATCGAGTGCCATCCAAAGAGCCCTGAGGATGGAGAGATTCACTGACCAGAAATATTTTTGCACTACTGAAAGGATAAAGGCAGTAGTGGGAGAGGTTAATTCAAATACAAAGCAATACAAAGGAGGTCTGAGGAAAGACTGCTGGTGGAAGAAGAAAGGGGTATCTCATCCAAAATAATGACCAGGATGCAATAAGCATTACATTTTGTCTTCAAATGCATGAGACAGAGTTCTCAGATTATGATCCTATAATAATTGAATAATTTAGGTTAGAAAGGACATCCAGAGCTGTGACTGTTTACTCAACTCCTGCTCAGGTTTTGGTCTAATGTACAGCTCATGATAAGATCTGATACATGCTGGTATCTTCTGCTCCAAAGAATCCAAACCAACTGAAAACATTAATCACTTCTATATTTGTTGTGAAGTTAACTGAGAAAAAAACCCAGTACATAGATTTGTTCTACTTGGCATAGAATCATAGAATAGTTAGGGTTGGAAAGTACCTTAAGATCATCAAGCTCCAACCCCCCTGCCATAGGCAGGGACACCTCACACTAAACCACATCACCCAAGGCTCTGTCCAACCTGGCCTTGAACACTGCCAGCGATGGAGCATAAACAGACATAAAGCAACATAAACTAAAATTCAAAAGCTTCTTATTCCAAGCTTCTTTGTTGTAGTCACTTTTGTAACTAATTAGCAGAGAAACAAGGGAAAGTGTGATCAGTATCTTGAAAAAAACACTTTGATGAGAAATATTACAGGCATTTATCTAAACATTACATACACAGAGAGGACATGACTGCATCTCCTTCAAGTCTTACCCAAGAGACATTTAATTTGGGTAAGTTTATTCTGAACTAAGCACCAGTCACTGACACAAAGTGAATTACAGCCCTATGGTTCCACCCATTTATTTTCATAAGGCTTAAATCTTCCTAACAATTCTGAACTGCCAAGAAAACAAGTTGAGCTACTTACGTAGAGTGTAGCCCCTTGAGGGGAGGAATCATTTCTTATCCAGGATGATATTACCCTCCTCATCTTTGATTTGAACCCGTCCAGTGGAGTACTTGGTTTCCTGTCTGCCATTGCAGTACACAGTTTTCACAGTGCCATCTGGGTACTCCCGCCTCTTGAACTGCACAGTGTGAATCTCCTTTTGGCCATTACTGAATACCACTATTTTATCTCCATTCCTGAAAGAAATAGCAATGAATGAAGTGGTGAGAAGACACTATCAGTTATTAACCTATCTCACTGAGCTGTCTAATATGACACAATGAAAGTGGAAAATAATGTCAAGTGGGAACTTTCTCAGATAGGTTATAATTCACCTCAGAATTTAACATGGGATGGCATGAGATCTGATATTACAGTAAGATTTCAATACAAAGTACTTCAGTGCATAGAATTATACCTAATACATTGTGAGATCTGCATTTTTAAATGACTTCTTTATGAGGGGATCACAAGGCATTTTACAAGCAGGAAATCTGTTTTACAACAGGATCCTCCCTGAGCCCAGAAGAGGCATGTGTAAGAAAGTCTTATTGTTGTTTTTCCTCATTTTACGTAGAGGAATAGAGAGAGAATGCACGAAATGCTTTGCCCAAGATCAGAAAGACAGACAAAAAGCTAGGAATAGAGCTCAGGAGTTCTCATCCTGAGTCCTTTAGTACCCACATAGCTAATACAGGCAGCTGGTGAATTCCCAGAAGCCTTGGCCAGTGCAAAGTTACATGGAATTAAATGAGGAAAATTTCAGAGTCACCTATCATCCAAGGTAGAAGTGAACAATTTTCAGTGCCTCACTGTAGCAAATCCCTCATTATCTTACAAATCCTTTCTTCTTTCATGTGGAAATTTCCCAGCCATGCAGAATCCAGCCAGAGTTTTAAATGTCAGTATTTTTGTACCTGTGTCCAGTGCCTGGTACCTGTCACTAACATGAGACTTACTTTTCTACTTTTACTACTGTACCATCTGGGAAAAAAGTTTCCTTGAATCCATCGCTATAGAGGCATTTCACTGTGCGATCTGGGAACACAATTTCTTTTGTGCCATCAGGATAATGTCTTTCTGTGGAAAAGAAGATGTAAAAAATCTGTCTGGTATTCTTCCATGTTTCTTTACACAGAGCTAGATCAGGTGGGGGTTTTTTTTGACACTGTAGTGAGATTGGAAATGATATCCAGTGTACTGCTAAAGAAATCATATAATTGAATATTCAGATAATCAAAATTCAAAGAGCATTTGCATCCATTATTATCTTTCTTTTGTAGGAAGAAACTGAGCAGTAAAGTGATGGAACATACTGGAAGAGAAATGCAAAGACAAAGCAAAATAGGGAGAAAATACCCAATCTGCTGGAATCAGAATAAGTCAACACTTTCAGAATAAAAATCTTCCTGCATGTATAATTCACATTTATGAGTTCTTACATACCTATCTGATTATTAGGGAACTGCAGCACCTCCAGGCCATCTGGATAAGCAGTGTGGGTTGTCTGTGCATCTGCATAATAATAAATCTGGAAGGAGAGTGAAGTGTTTGTAGCATGTTCACAATATTTGCATAAGCAGATTCAACCATAAAAATGTGCTTAAAAATAACCCATCTTAAAAAGGTAATTTGAAGGTCATTTTCTGCCTCTGACATCCATAAATGCAGCTATTTTTGTACTGCTGTTCCTTCCTCTTATACATCCCCCCCCCCATGGCTGTGTCTAGATGACACTTCTTTCATCTCTTCTCTGCAGTATACAAGAGAACAGTGCACTTATGAAAGTCATCTTCCCGCCTCTTTGCTTCAGCTCCCAGCCATGCACTATTAATTTAAAATAGTTCTGCTGATGCCAAGGCCTCACTAATTTCCACTGTAGCTCATGTTATTTTTAACTGGTTTTATTTACACAACACCAGATGGAAGAACCCCTATGATGGTGATGGCTTGACTTCACTAATGAAGATTTGGGAAGGGCTTTACTATGCTACATGCCCTACAAACATACAAAAAACAGTCCTTGCTTCAGATGGCTGCCCCTGCCCTTTGCCTTCTTTCAGTCTCCTTTAATCTGCTTAGCTAACTACCTGCTTGTTTCTTCTTTGCCAGCTACATTCATCTCCACTTTTGTCCTTATAAGATGAAGCAGTTTCACCGCTCAGGGTTGTTAAAGCAACACCCTTTCTCATCAGTTTCTGATAAGATAAATGACAGGACATTGCTGGAAAATCAATAATTATATTTTACTTGAAACAAAAAAGTTACACACCACTGTTTGATCTGGCATGATCTTCTTTACATCTCCATTGAAAAAGCTAATTGTCGTCATCCTTTTGTCAGCACTGATCTCTTTTTTAGTACCATTGCGGAAAGTGATGATTCGACGTCCATCAGTAAGCACCTCTTCTACCTTCAAACACATAGATCATCTAACATTAATTAAGTCAAAGCACCTGAGGTGCTGTGCAGGAAAGATTACATAGCCACTCAGACACAGATTGTCTAGCCTCATGGCAAGGAGTTGTGGAACACAGTGGGAAGCCAGCAGGAATTGCTTGCTCATCCCCTCCTGGAAAACAAGGACTTCCAGGAAAGGGGTGAAACCAGCTGCCAAGCTGAGCTATGGGCCTTCAGGAAAAGGAGCAGCTGGAAGCAATCTCCGGATGCAGCTGAGGAATCACTGGGGGTTTTGACAGGTGGCTTAAGCAAACAGGACAGGCTACATTGAACCCAACTCCACTAATGCTACTCCAGGCGTAGCCAGCTGTGTATAATGAAAAGCTTCTCCCACAGTGGTGTGTCCAGCTGGCACATCTCACTACCATTAGATTCACATCCAAGGAAAGAAAAGAATGGCCTTTAATCTTGCACTACCAAATGCCATCACTACCCCACTAGCACATTTTCATTTCTAATGGCAAGTATATAATTCCTCCCATCCCGTAACTGAGATAAACAAAACAAATCTGGTGAAAGTCACAAAGTAAATCCATGTGGGAAACAAGAAAACAATTAATTTACTTGATATTCAGCTCATCAGCTATAAGTATTTCCTATCATTCATGGTGTTAACTTTATACTTAAGCTCTCCTTTAAGGAACACACATTTAATTGGAGACATAATAGTCTATGGCTACTTAAAGTAGTGATTCCCATCTGTACTGCAGTCTTATTGATGATCTCTTCAAATATTTTTGCATCCTATTTTACCTCACCTTTCCATCACGATACTCAGTTTTTTCCTGCACCTCTTCTTCACTTATTCTTCTGTCTTGATGTAGCATTGACCTTCTAGATAGTATTGATTTTGGAGGCTACATTATGAAAACATCACAGTCAGTGATATATAAAAAGAAATGTTTTAAAAATATTTTCATTAATTTTAATTAACTGTGCAAAACCCATATTTACTTTCACACACACAGAGGAAAGCTGCCCTTCTTTCTGGTATTGCCTTGCATTTGTAACCAATTTTGATCTTTTAGTCATAACTAGAAAAGTTGCACATTAACTCCAGTTAACTTCGGTTAGCAAAACAAAAGATAGCATAGAGAAAGTCCAAAAATGAGGTTACAAGAGTGCATTCTGGTGAAACTATGCTATAGGAAATTAAGAATGAGCACAAGAACAAAAAATTGGTCTGTCTCTGAATATTGAGCTACTGATTTGAAAGCAATGTACCTGTATTAGCTAAATCCACTCTTCCAAAACAAATTAAAAGGTTCTTAGCTGTAGGTAATGCTAACTCTGTAACTTAAGAGCTATTCAGGATGCTACACTTCCAATTTACCACTACAATAAGTGCCCTTTGCACTGTCTGGCAGCTTAAAAGAGCCTTAAGTTAATTGACATCTGACACATAGCATCAAGAACAGTTACTAACTAATGTTAATTGCGGTTTGAAGATGTGGTATGTTTTGATATGCGGGATCCAAAGGAACAGGCAATACTGCTCCCCAAAGGGCTATGATACTCTCCATTAAAAAGGTGTAGAAACAGTGCCTGAAGTTGCCAGATCCATACCTAAAACTCTGTGTCCACTGCATAGCACTGGAAATGGGAATGGAAGTTTTCTTTCTCTTGGTGTGTTTAATTTCAGTTCACAAATGGAAAAAAAGAAAGTTGATGTTTATATAAGAGCCAGAATTGTAAGTTGCTCAAACCTTTGTTTCAGCATCCACAAAAGCAGTAGAACTGTCTGTAGATACTTTGTTGTCATATGCAGTTATGCCACTTCTCCTGTGTGTGGTCACAAAAGCCACTTTATTCTGAGGTTTTAACATTTTTTCTGTCTTTTGAAGGTTAAGAGTCTCTTCTTTCTGAGCCAAAATAAAAGAGGTAACAAGCAACATAAATCTCTTAATGTCCAATAGTTGTGCAGGAACATCTTGATAAAGAAATCTACTACATTTTTTGTAAGATATTTAAAGAGTGTACTTATCATGAGTAGAGATAAGCAAATAAAGCCAGGAGAGTATTGTTTTCAGCTGGATGGGAGTTAGCATGTTGCATACAAAAACTAAGACTCACTGAATTCTTTTATAGAGTTACATGATGAAATACCTCTGTTTCTTCAATGTTACTGCAGAGCGCAAAGCTGCAAGTGTCATTGCTGTCGTTATGTGAGAGGAACATGTCTTCTGAGCTATATGAAATGGGTAAAGACCTGCCTACAGCAAAAAGCAAAGTAAAACGGGTCATTGAAAGCATACAAAAATCAATGAATCATGTGTCCATACCTATCTCAGAAGGTTTTTGAAGATGCTAGCTCTCAGATTCTTGCAACACATTGCTTCCTATACCGATAAATGTTTGCTAATAGCTTGCCCATCCTCCCTAAGGTTGTTTTGTCCTGAACTAAAGTGAAGTGCAGACCACATCCGTTCTCTCACCTGAGCTTCCAGGACAAACAACAAACCCAGTGAGTAAGCAGGCAACAGCACAGTCTGCTCTCTCTCTCGTAAAGTACAGTTTTCATAATTCTTCTAAGAATTATAAGAGCATTTTAGTGATAATATATTGCCTGTGACCCAAGAGTTGTGGACTAGTGTCTCCAAGTCATTTGCAGACTACTCTAGGCAGGCAGAAAATTCCCACAGTTACCTTTTACATAGGAAGATGAGTTAGGCTCCTTAAAACCAACACTCAGATGTGAGACAGCTCCAGGTGATTTCCTGTCATCTATTCTTCTCCCAGCAGGAGAAGGTTGATGTACAACCTGAAGCAAAATGGAGATGCCCTGACATACAGCCGTGCTTCACTGTAGCATGGGAGCTATTAGTGACATGGCCATAGTGCGCTTCCCTTTCCCAGGAGTTTAGCTGTCTGTGCACTGATATGGTACTGGTGTCTAATCTCGGTTCAGACTGTTGTGGAAAAAGATGTGAGGGGAGGAGCTGGAAGAAGCCTCAGACAGATCCATCTCCCTACCTCCCACCCCATCCCTTCTCTTGGGAGCTGCATTTCAGCAGCTCTCACTCTTGGTCCATGTTGGGTTGTACTGCAGACATGCCTGTGCCTGGCCATGTACCTCATTGATCCATAGCTCAACCCCGACCCATGGGCTGACTTCTTCTTGTGACCACCAATCTCATCAGTATGGGCTTTGATGGCTGGGATTCTGACATGACCCTGACTTCTATCCCCAGCCTGCCCTCCTCCCTGTCTGTGGGATGGGCCCTATCCTGACAGACTGCACTGGGAGACCCTGATGCTCCCAGCTGCTAGTCCCCAGGGAACTGCTGGCCCTGAGATGCCTTTATGCTTTGTGAACAGGATCAGCTCTGAACTTTTTCTAAGGGCAAGGGGTGCAGTTTTTGGAGCATTCACCCATGATCTGGCCTGCAGGTGCTCAAGTAGCAAAATAAATATAACTATATTTTATATTTATACATTATATATGTATAAACAGTCTCTAAGATAAATTCTGGCAAAAAAAAAACCTGCAGAACCAGCAGAAGAGGACCAATCAGCAGCTATGCGGGGATCAGGATCCCAATCCAGCTTCTGAATAATACAGTAAAAAGAAAATAAAGGCAGTCTAAATAGATCTTGTTAGTGCCTTACTTTTTCTGGTTCAAAAGGTGTCAGTCTTCCTCGGTGATGTGTCTTCCTGCCAGTTGGTGTTGTGCTTCTGCCAAAAGAGCAGTTAGATGGTTTCTTTTCCTGATGCTCCTTTGTCATCGATCTTAAAGGATCATCCCTTTGCACAGAGCTTTTTATTGTCTAAAAGGTTTGAATGCATTTGCATTAAGTTGATATAAACATCTTCAAACAGCATTAAAAATTGTTCTACAACAGATGCGTTATTAAGCATTTAAAACTTTCAGGAAAATGTTTATATATGTGGGCATACACACAGACGCACACATATTTTACACATAAATCTCTATTTGGGGTCTTATTTTGCTTCTCACATTTGTAAGTCAAGGGTAATCCAAGGCTCACAGTATGAGGCCAAAAGCTGCTCTCAGGTTCTCAACCTTCAGTGCCAACCATCCTGCCAAGATCAGGAAAGATACCCCTCTCTGGGATACCACAACTGAGTTGACCCCAGTAAAATACATTGCATGACAACTCATTTTTACTTGCCAGATGTCCACCCTTTATACATTTTGCCCTCATACTTTCCCATCAACCAAGGCTGACACAAGCCTTGCTAAGACAGATGTGAGACACAAAAAGGAAATGAGATGTGACCAGTTTCAAAGAAACTATAGCAGACATTTGTACTGGAAACATCACAGTTAGTCAAAAGCATTTCCTCAATTTTTCTGGGAAGACCTTTGACCAGAGCACAGAGAAAACATAAAATGTTCTTGCATGACCACCATGAGATATATGGGATTTGCATAATGACTACCAGGGTTGGTCAGATGCAAAGGAATTGTTACACTGATGTAACAGGAAAACTGAGGGTGCACTCTTGCCTAGTCAAAACTTTTGAGGTACAAAACCTAACAGAAATGACTGGCAATATGAGACAAAAGCATAGTCACTGCTCGCCCTGTGGAAGACATCCCAGAAATGGCAAAGGACAACGTCCATGTCCATCAGAACTGATAGCACAAGAAAGTCTAATGCACTGAGCTGGTGAATGGCTGGAAATGAGCACATGATGGTCAGAAACAAAGAAACATTCAAAACCCCCTATGGAAATAATAGCAGGTACTCTGATTTAGCAAAGTCTCACACACTGGAGAGGGGATGCTTGGGAAGATGAGGGTAAGCAGTCCATGCAAAGAATGTATTTGCCATCAGCTTCATTTGTCCAAATCCATGAGCTGTAGCTCAAGAGACATGGGACTAGCAAAGCACAAATGGGAAGACTGCACAATTCCTTCTCTGACAGCAGTCACCATTTTTTGACAGCTGTAAAATTTTCTTCCTTTGATCAATGAAAGTTGAGGGATCTGTTGTTGTTGCAGATGGTGATCTCTTATTCCTATTAAGAAATGACATCACGACTTAATGGATGTGCTTACAAAGAAGGAGACAATAAATAAATCCCATCGCAGCACCAGAAAATAGTAGAATTTTTAAAGGCTAGATCTTTTCCTCAAGCATAAAATGGTTCTGAGCAGGAGACAGGCAACTGATCAGCACTTTTGGACAAGGATACTAGCAGGTACATAAATTAATAGAATTCATTGGTAAAGGAATATGATATCTATTTTAAATTTGGAGGTGTCTTCTGCAGCAGATTCTGTGGATATGCCTGGGTTCTTCAGATATAATCATGATTTCAAGTACAAGTGAGTAGGCAAACTGTCAAAATATGCCTGGGATTTCAGTTCAAGACAAGCAGTATAGTACTGAAGACCTTTAAAACTATTTTTGATGAAGACTTATTATCTCAAAAATTGCAGGCTGATAGAATTAAAGAGCTACTAATCCATCATTTTATTGTTAAAGATCTCAAGACTGAAACTACCAAGCAATTTCAGAGAACTTGAAAAGCCATCAGTGCTGTTTCGCAGCAGCTCAAGCCAATCTCAGCCCAAATTACTAGAGTCCCACTCTTCTTCTTCGATCCCCAGCCCTTCCTTTACATGGCACCGGCAACCACAGAGGGGGATTGACCTGGCTCAGTGAGTAGAATCAGGCAAAAATTAGCTGCTTTTTCTGCCTGGTTATTTTTGAGGCAGCTAGCCCGCCATCATCAGAAAGTGCTAAGAGGACCACAGCAGCTCAAATATTCATCAGCTTCATTCAGACACTAACGTGGGCCTTGGGACTTTCAAAGCAAGTCTTATGGTGACACAGTACCCCAGAAAGAATTGAGTCAGATAATGGGAGTCATTTCCAAAACAACCTTATAGACAATTGAGCCAAAGAGCATGGCGCTGAATGGGAATATCACATCCTCTATCGTGCACCAGCCTTCAGAAAAACCAAACAATACATTGGACTGTTAGAGACTACATTGAGAACAATGGGTCCTGGAACCTTCAAACACTAGGACACACATTTAGCAAAAAACACCCTGTTAGTCAACACTAGGGGATCTGCCAACAAGGCTGACCTGGTCCAGTCAAAACTTTTTACATACTGGAGTATGGGATAAGGTTTCTGTAGTGCACATAAAAAATACGCTAGGGAAAAGAGTGTAGGTTATTCCTGCCTCAGGAAAACATAAACTGGTTTGTGGGATTGCTTTTGCACAAGGACCTGGATGCACTTTGGCTGTTGTATAGTACAGAAAGAATGTTGCAGTTCAAGCTATTAAAGAACTACCTATATAAGACTTGTAAATAGAAAATACTTCATTGCAAGAGTTTTAACACAGAGCAGCCTAGAAAGCCTACTTTAGAAAAGGAGGCTTCATGAGCCACATTTGAAAAGAACATTCAGAAGTCAGCATTTACTGATGCAGTGCAACGGGTGATGCTGTAGCCAAGGGACAGAGATGTCTATAGGCCTTAAAAATGTGGTGAGAAGAGGCTCATGCTCATTCTTTTTAGCTTAATTAATGAGCTCATGAAGTAGGATGTATTGGACTGCAAAAGTGAAGAAACAAGTTGAAGCCAGGGGGAAAGAAGAGCTGTTTCCATGAACATGGTGAGTTTTGTTCATGATGTATCAAAAGAACACCCCATTTAGTTGAGGGAGTTTCCATGCACAGCAGTGCTAGTAAAGCTTCTCCAGCTAGTTACATATGCCATTGTAAAAGCTGGTGATCTCGTATTTTATGCATCACACATATTACACATTTTAAAATTATTCACTAGCATACCTATTTTTAAAACAGTAATGTCAGATTAATCAAGATAGGCTTAGCGAATTACATGTGGTCTCTGTTTTCATACAGATGGATGTCATTCTAAGAGGTTGTTTCATAAATCATAGCAATCACTGCAACCCTAGCAATCACTGCAACCCTGGCAACCACTGCAATTTAGCTCTACACTTTTTAAGAGACTCAAGTATGAAGTATTTGGGTTAATCACACATGATGAGGTTCTTGATAAAGATTCTCTCTATTCCATCACTTCATAAACAAATTATCTCCCTAAAACTTTTTACTTTTTTTCCATTGGAAACACATGGGTTTCCATTAAATGCAGACCCTTGCAATACAAAGGGATTTCAGGGTTGGAGATAGAAACAGCCTCCCAGCATGCACAAGGTAGATCAGTTGTTTCCCATCTCCACTGAACGCAGAATAAAAATTAATCAGTTGATTAGCTGGTGACAGCAAAAGAGATGGATTTTAGTTATGAAGTAAAACTTCATAATTAAAACAATAAGTAGGCAGCAGATGATGCCAGTTTATTTTGGATCTTCTTGGATCTTTGGATCATCTCCCATCTTTTCATGGGAGCTGGCAACATACAAATTGAATAACCATCAGTGACAGTGATCCTGTTTTCAGCAAAAGGCGTACTGTGTGACCTCTCAAAGTTCCTCCAGATCTATGCTATCAGGAAGCAGAGGAGAGCAGGAGGATGTGGTTTTACTCAGGGCCCACCTAAACTTTAAAAATATGATGTTCCCCTTGATCCTCATGCTCAACAATAACCCTTTAAATTTTCTAATGAGCTTTTTCTCCCAGATGTCAATACCTACAGTTCCTCACCATTTTGACACAATTCAATTCTCTCATTTGTCAATTCCCATAAGTAGGGATCCTTTATAGCCTCCAAATATCACAGTTTGTGTTCCGTAGAGTTTACATCATGTGGAGTTTACATTCCCACTAACAGATCAAAAAGCTGAGTAAAAGCAACAGTGAAAATTCAGATGCTACAAAAGCCTTTCTACACATTCCCAGAACTTATACTTCCCTGCTTCAGAGTCAGTAAATGTTCAGGAAGAATATTCATAGACAAGGAAATAACATGCTCAAAGGTTATCAAAATCCCCTGCAAGATTAGACAGCAAAATCCCTCTAATAAGATTCAAAGTAAGCACATTTGACCTTGGTTGAAACTTTTCCAGCAAAACCAGTAAGAAATGGTATCAGTATATCTTTCAGTAGAAATGAAAGTAACTTTTCTCATAGAAATTACTAACATTTATCAATAGTAGCATGTGAGGTAGGAAACTGGCAACACATTCCTGCTAAGTGATGCATTCAGAAATAAGCTTGTTTGGAGGGAATTCATACTAATAAATATTAATAAATAATAAATATTAACAAATAATAAATATTAACAATTTTGGCCAATCTGTACATCTTTCAAACCATATTTTGAAGGAATCACTAATGATATACAGTTAAAATGGACTCCTATCTTGTCTCACTAAAGAACAGTTTGAAGTGGCCAGTTCCTCACCAATTAGGTCGCGTTACAGTACAAACAGAAACCATGATTAGAAGTATTACACGCAACCAGAAGATGTCTTTTTCAGAGATGTAGAGCATCTCTCAGATATGACTTGTTTTTCATAAAATCCTTTCTTCTAAAACTCTGAATTTTAATCTCTACTGATCATTATTTGGACTTTCTCTACAATTGTTTTTTTCACATATCCTCAAATTCTATTACCTTTGAAAGAAATAAGACAGAAGTAGGTGTTAAGTGTTGTTTTGCCTTCTTAATTGCAGCTGCTGAAACTCACCAGTCCTAGCTAGCTTCAACTTAAGTAGGTTATACAGGTACACACATATCCCTGTGTCATGCATCTCTGCTTCTGTTGCTAAAGGTTATCCCATTCACTGTGATGTGTTTCCATTCACTTTTATGTGCTCCCACATGCAGTTTCTCAATTCTGGACAGAAACAGCATGAGAAAGTTTGTTTCATCTATATCCTAAATTTAGAATTGTTCATATTCACAGAAACTTTGAGGGAAAGCATCCACCTGCTAGCTAAAGAGGTCAGATACAAAGGAAACACAAGTGAGATACCATGGTCAGACCTATTGCTATGACACAGATTTGGGGCTTCTTTTTAATGTTCCATTTACCTAAGCCTTCAATTCTATATTCAAATAATCAGCAGCCACTCTACTTACTGCAAGTCCTTCTTCTGCCATCAAATCAGATAAAGAGCATGTGTCTTTCTCAAACATTTCAGAGTTCACTCAGGACATATGGGCACTGTGCCCACCAGCCTAGAACATGCTTGTGCTGGATTCCAGTTGGATTGGTTCCAGTGCTGTCTAGATGGTGAAAGCTCAGATAACACAGAGTGTCCTCAACTTACCCCTTCTCAGACCTGTTCCTGAAGCCACAGTGAAACTCAGTGGATCTTAGGGAGTCTCTAAGTAGAATAAATGTTACTGGTTTTTACTAATTTCAGAAGAATGCTTTAAATGTTCAGATAAAACAAACTCTTCCATGCCTTGAAAATTTCCAGAGTAAGCTACCAAAGATAGCTTTTTTACTTTACTGGCCACTTTAACTGCAGATAGTATATTGTGCATTACCTGTCTAGTTAGTAATTTTATCACCACAGCACAGAGGAACAGAGAGATCCCAGCTGTAGAAGGCACTGGGGAGACCCAACATCAGTATAGAACAAACAAAACAATTTATTGCTGCTAAACCATCCACCTTCTGATTATAAACATATAGCTTAGAAATATAGCTATATATTTATTTGTGAAGTCAGGCGTGCTCTGCATCCTCCTTGAAGCTACTATTTCACACATAACTGATTCTGCTCTTTTAAGCATATTTCATTTAGAGTTGATCTTAGCATTGTGTCTTTTCATGTCTGGCACCATGCAGGATTCATTAAAGCCACTGTCTCATGACTTTCAAGACATACATTGTCATGATCACTGGAGTAGAATAGTTGCCTCCTTTATCATCTGAAATGTTTTACATTTGATTACAGTCCCTAAAAGGACAGAGGGAGCTAAGTTTTGCTTTAGCAAATGGATCCAGGAGATTAGTTCCCAGTAGGTAGGAGGAATTTCAGAGAGACTAATCGCTTAAATAAAGCACAGATTTCTGCTAAATATGAGCAAAAAGAAGAAAGGAGACTTGTTATAATCAAGATGCTCATAATAAGAAGCAATAAATACAAAACCAAGAGAAAGCAAAGCACAACAAAATGTTTAGATATCTATATATTCTAAACGGTGAGATGTGTGAGAAGTGTGGTAAGCTGGCTGTAGAGGAGCAGCCATAGAGATACCAGTCAGAAACAAGCATCTCACCTGACATACTGAATTAATTTATCACAACTTGTAAAAAGCTAAATGATTTTCCCACTCACTTTATCAGGCAGAATAACACTAGTGTTTATTGGCAAGTAAAGCCTCAAATGGCAAAATACTGGATTTATGGCATTCTGAGGCAAGGTATGGCAGTTCCCTGTAAAACCAATCTGTGAAGCAGCAGTTACAATAAATTCAGAGCATACCTGGAAACAATATAGTTACTTCTAGAAAAGGAAACAAAAAAGGTTTGTCTCCTGCTATGGCAAAATCAGGAGAAAAACTACAAGCAAAATTATGCTGAATGACAGCACAAGCCTACTGCAAGAAAACATGACCATGCTTGTAGAGACACTTTCATTTGTACAGATTTTGTTTCCAAAGAACATTTTCTCAAATAAATATTTGAAACCATGGAAAACTGACTACTGGTAATAGGAACGCATACTTCACTATTTGCATCTCTGAAGAAGTGTCTTTGCAAAGATGTCTTCGGTCCCATGTAAGACATATGGTAACTTTTGTGATTATCTCTCCGTGATCTCCCTTCTTGTTTGGATGAAGATGCTGTCTCTCGCAGAATAGCTTCTGCAACCTAATGGAGAATTTGTTATGATTATATAAAGTTCAAGTCACAGCTAGTAGAATCAGACAACCCTCAAAGCCATTCGGTTTTCTCTTGTAATAAAAATTATCATATTTAAACACAGTCAATTAAACTCCTCATCTGGTTGTGCTAGGGACTGAAACTCCTCACTATCAGACACAACAATCTTTGATAACCATCCTAGCATCTTTATATACAGCATCCTAATATTACTCTCACACAACAAAATCTTCGGTGGCTTGAGCAGTAATTATACATCATCAAATGCCCCAAAGCAGTAGAAATAATGCAGAAATCTGGCCTACAACCAAAGTCAATCAATCAGCTTTCTCTAATCCTTGCTTTTACTGGATTTTTATTTTTTTTCATTCTGTACAAGTGACTCTAATCATTTTTTCTGACCTTCACGATCTATAAAAAGATGAGTCGTATGAGCTGGTAGGTTTGGGAAAATTAAAGATACATTGAAATGGAACTTGACATGATATTTGCAATAGAACCTAACAGTGTTATGTGAAAAATCTCATTAACTAGTACATTAAAATCAAATAAAAAGGTGGACCAAAACTTCTTTGCTCCACAAATCAAAGGACATGCTAATTGGTGGTTCTAACAACTTTTAAAGATACATTACTAGAAATTAGAGTTTCAAATTAGGGAAATACCTAGGAGTAAATGGCTTGATTTTATTTTCTCCTAGGTTCAGCCACTGTGGAAAAGTAGGATTCATCTCACCAGTCTGCACCATCTAGAAGATAATTGTTTGCCGCCTTGACACATATAGGATGAAATTGATCCCTCTTTAAAGGCACATATTTTTCTCCCTTGAATACACAGGGAGATGAAATGACCCACTCAAACCAGAATATTGTCTTTTGAATTGCAGTCTGAAACATTTAATCCCACCAAGGCTTGCTGTGTCCTGTGTAAGAAGTGGGTAACAATATTTTTCTCCCTTCTTCTAACTCCCCTAAATTAAGTTACTTGGCTATATAGTAAGGTAACAAGCAACCCTACTAGTATGGGATACTGAATGAGAAATGACAAGAAAATCTGTACACCTATGATTAAACAGTTTTGATTTCAGGAGACATTTACACTAGCCAGCCACATTTTCTACCCTGATTGTCCTCCCTGCTCCACCCACATGTAACACCCAGTCAGGAGTGGAACTTGTGCATTCTAAGGTAACAAAGAGTGTTGACAGTGTTTTCATCCCAGAAAGTTTACAGTACAAAATAAGAACTGAGATGAGATTAATAAGAGGTCCCACTATACCTATTGCAGAAACCAGCCTGCACCTGGCTGAAGAACTGTTTTATTAAAAAGATGAACGGCATTATATACATAAAAAGTAGAATTCATTCCAGAAGACTTTAGTTGTCCAATTTATGCACCAATTTTAGATTATTTATCTAGAGTCTCTCCATAGTTAGCAGAGGGAGACATCTGCCCTTATGTTAGTATCTAAGATAGTTTCACTGAATCACCTTTTAGATGTGTCCAGCTCATGGACAATAAGGCTAAGTGGAAGAGGACCACACAAAAACTATATTTTAACATGGCTTACTACAGAGCTGATTTCCTTCCCTTCAGGCTAAGCATGGCAGGAATGGAGGAATAGTGTTCGCGAATGCCAGGTCCAAAGAAAAACTACCCCTTATTTTTTCAGACAGTACTGAACAGATAATATCATCCAGTACCGGTGTCTCTGATTTTCTGTCAGTGAAATTCACAGCTTCTGGGTGCTTTTCTTCTTTCCACCTCTGATGTTCTGAAACTCTGAGCCCATCTAGAAGCTTTGTGTTCTGCCTGGTCAGCATCTCAACCTGGTCTCTCAGCTTGTTATAGGCAGCATGCCAGCAGGACTCATTTCTCTTGAATTCTTCCTGCAGTCCAGCAATCTGCTGTTTTAATATCTACCAGAAGAAAAAAAGTGTGCCATATCATTGCCTGCTCTTGACTAGGCATGCCCACCTTACATATCCAGAAGGAAACATGAAGTCCTTTGCTCTGCTTAAATGTCAACAGTATAAAGGTCTTCAATATAAAGGTGCACAATATAAAAAGAGCACATTTAAAATGATTCCTTAAAAAAACCAACCAACCAACCAACCAAACCAGCAAACAAAAATCACTACTGTGCAAGCTCCTATGTTTAAACCAAATCAATTGGTACAAAGTGAGCAGAGAGGAGTCCTTGGTATGTGAGGGAAAATCAGGAAATGCAAACTCATCATGCAAACAAACACCATTAAATGTGAATGTTTTCCAAAACAAGGCAAAAAAAGTCAGCTCTATAGATCTTCATGTAGTGACAAGGGCACACGAATAGATAAAAAGTTGTTACAGACAGCAGGGGATTGCAAAGACAATTTTAAACTGAGTTCAGGTAAAGGAAAGTAATGAAATTTGGTGCATTTTGTAGAGGACTTTTCCATATCCATGTATCTCCATTATTTTTCCCTCCTCCCTTCTTCTTCCCTCACCTGTGCTGATGCCAACACTGAGTCCTCTCCCCTCAGATCACTCATGTTGGGTAGTGCAAATGGAATATTAGTGGAGTTAAACTGAAAATGTGGAGTTTGTTCTGTAGTCAACCAGTCATCACATGCACCCCTTTACTACTTTCCCTTCACTTGTGTATCTGCCCACTTGTGTTCTAATCACCATCCTTTCTTCGCTGTGAGCTTCCTGGTCAGCATTTGGCACATCCATTGGCTGCTTTTAAGAAGAAGGAGACTTCTGAACTTGTGGATCACACAGATAGATAGTAACCCAGTGTTCTGTAATTTTTGAACCTGCACTTATTATGTTATCAGGTAGGAGCAAAAGATTAAAACAATTCTACCAAACGTCCCCTCTAGGGCTAGACCTAGTCAGGAAACACAATTATTCCCTGGCAAAAATTCTAACATTTTTTTTTTAATCCAAATGGGAAATAAAGTTGATGTTTCAAAGTATTGAGCAGACAGGTCATTCAAAATCCTTTTATTCAAAATACTGGAATAACCCCACTGAAACAGTTAATCATTTCCTGTTGTAAATGTTACCTCTAGAGAAATGCGGAACACAATCAGAGAAAACATTTGTTATGTGTATGATACAAAAATATGTATTTCAAAAAATGTACAAATGACAAATAATGTATTGAAAGTTTGAACAAAATACTGTCTTGCCAGTTTTGTTTCTTCTGAAACTTTTCTGGCCAAGAAAATAATTGAAATTGCCAGTTTTGTGCCAAATACATCACTTTGGTTCAGACATCCTTTTGCAGAACATTGCTCCAGACATTTCTAAACATTACCATAGCCTACTCCTTTATCCTATAAGAATATAGGTTTAGCTGTCCCCATCTCATTTATCACTGTCTCACATGGATCACCATTTCCCCCTTTTCTTTATCCGTGATTCTTCTAGAAAATTGCTTAAACTCATATTATGTCTAACTGGTTTTGATAGGGAAAACAGTCACAGATATTCAGAAATTACTTTATCCCTAAGGAGGCTGATGTAGATGATTCAAACAGAATCCCCTAAAGGAACTCAGAAGAAACACAGTCAGTGATTCAGGATTGTTATTAGGCAGGTTAGGTGTTAGATACACAGCTAGATATCACCAAAATACTCAAAGCCAAAGGCCAGGATAGTTCAAGTTAAAAAATCAACAAACTCCCACATCAGGGATGAGAACAGAGAACAATGGCCAATACCTCTGTGCCACTGGCACAATGGCTTTTTGTATGAAAAAGATGTAAACCCCACAACAGCAGGAGTTGGAATTTTTTTTAAGAGCTAGCTCAGATCTGGGCAAATCAATACAAGAAGTATAAGGAACCTGGGAACCTCTCAACATACCTTAAGAAATAGAAGGCACAACCTAATTTTTTCGTATATCAAGAAAGTGGGGCACTTATATGTACTTAAAATAATACATTTTAAACCAAAGCAATGTACTATTAACAAAAATCTTCACTGTACGCACAACTGTCCTGAAGATGTAATTATTGGCCACCTGTGGCAAATGGAAGGATTCAGGTACTACAGTAAGATGCCTGCATGGGAGGATATTAATTGATGAGAACTGCATATTTATTCAACAGAAGACAGCTTACTTGTATTTCTTCTGATTTTGATTTTCTTCAGTGACACTAGCTGCTCCTTTGAACTTGCTATGGGCAATGTTTTCTTCCTGCGGCGGGTGAATTTGGTCCCTGTTGTATTCCAAAGAATGAGTCGGTTCCTGGCTCCGAACAATGTTGAGCTGGTCCATTTGTGTTCTGCTCAGAAGGTAAACAAACAGTACGACTTTGACATAAACATTATAATAAAGGACTGTCTTTAGATGTGCCTTGTTTGAGCATGATTTTTGGTGGGCTTGGGCATACCCCATATATGCTGGTACTGCTGGGAGCTGCAAAAAGTTATCAGCACTTGTCAAAACTGAGGTCCTCCACTAAGAACACTCATGTATGTGTTCAGCTGCAAAATTGATTCTATGGAGCGGATGGAAACAATTCTTATTGAAATTTTCTGACAACATAATGACCATGAACCTAGAGGCTTTTAAGCACATTTTCTGTTCAGAGAGATAGCTAAATTAGGGCAGACCTGCAGATGACACAGCTAGTTCTCTGGCATAGCACCTATGAAGCACTTCATCATGCAGAGCTGGGGACTGAGCTATGTATCCAGCAGCCATTACATTGCTGTTACTACAAATCAGAACAGCCATAGAACTGAATGAAGGAGCATAAAGTACTTTACTTTCCGTAGGTAAGTACACTCCAAGAGTTAAATGTGGGAGCTTAGTGCCAGAAGAGATTTTTCCTTCAAACTCAATGTCTCAAGGCATGAGCAGTCTGGAACTGCACTTAAAACCTTAGCAAGATGGGGAGAGTGTAAATCTTTACATATCCTCAAATGGAGTGTATTCATAAGACTATGATACAGCTGCTTAGTTAATTTTTAATATTATACTAAATTATTTGTTAGATCCCTACATCAGCTCACTTCATGACCTACAGCCACCAACTGGTTTTCACTGTTACTTGAAATACAACATGAGCTAGAGGAGGCAGCCATGACGTCACATTTTCCTCTCTGTAATGCAATTTAGCCCTTCAGCAGAAAAATATGAATGTTCTGAAAGGTACTAAGAGACAAATGAACTCCCCATATCCTAATTCATTACCCATTTTTTATTCTTTTTGGTTGTTTTCTATCCTAAATAAGCTTAATATCCTGGTTAAAGTCATGCTAAAAAAAAAAGTTTCAGCAATAGTCAATAGAAGTATTAATTTTCCTCATGTTAATACAGTTAAATTATCAAACATACCGGTCTCATGTGATTATGTCCAGCCTATATATGCTCCATATACAGACGAGATGCCCTAAAATACAATGTACTAGAACAAAAGCAAGCACAAGATCTGAAGACAATATCTTCCACTGAAGACTGAACAGTATTGTCTTAACTTTCTTACACCCTGTAAAGTAAAATCCAGGTAGTTATTCCTTCCAGCATCTCAGCTGGTATCAGCCTCTTCAGAATTGCACAAGAATTACATCTGTACAAATAAACTAATAGAGCTGGAGCATGAACCCAAGTGTGCAATTGCCCAGAGCTACTGCTAGCATGACCTCTGGTCTTGGCATTGGCTATCCAGCACTGCACTAGGATGTGCTAGGCAAGGTTTGGAAGTTAGATCAGGCCAGGGATCAGATCCAGCAGTTTGAATGCAGCCACTATGGTCTCCAGGGTAAGGTAAGTTAGCTCTATGGAGGTGTTCTGCTGCTTACCACAGTGTGAAATATTCCCTTGGCTAGTTCAGGTCAGCTTCCTTAGCTCTTCTAAACTTGTGCACCTGCTCGCTGGCAGAGCATGGGAAACTGAGAAGTCCTTCATTTAGAGTAAGCACTACTTAGCAACAACTAAAACATTAGTGTGCTGTCATCATTGTTCTCACACTAAATCTAAACCACAACACTGTACCAGCTACTAGGAAGAAAGTTAACTCTATCCCAGCTGAAACCAGGACAGCTCTCTGCTTCAAGGCTAGAAAAAAGATCCTGAGGAAATGTAATAACCAAGGCCACCAGGAGCACACACATTATTTCTTTGGAGCCTCTGATAATTAGTTCACACCCCAACCATATATTGCAAATAGGAGCTGAATGCACAACACAGATATAAAATACATAAAAAAAGGCTAATCAGTTTGTGTGAGCTCAGGTTTTTGCATGCAACCCAGGCACCCCTCTGCCTGAGGCACATGGCAGCAGGCTGACTGTGAGGCAAAAACATACATGAAGCAAAAGTCTTTTTTCCAAGAAAATGTCTTTTAGGGAAATGCAGATGGGAGAAAAATCCATGTTGTCTACTGCTGATGGTTGAGAAAAAATGCAGATTCAAAACTACAATGTATTAAAGAGCACACAAGCTGTTCTTGTTGAAGGAACGAGGAAATAACCATCACTGAATCCTCTGACTGATGCCAAGAGCCAGCAGCAACTATCTCAGTGCAGCAAGAGTGGAGCCACAGGACAGATTCCATTAGGTACCAGATACACACAACACACTACATCCCACCTGTTTTCACCCTCTTCGCCTGTAATTATTTGTGCCTGCAAAGGCCTGAAAACAAAGTGCTTGGAAATAATAGATAGATTGGGCAGGTCCAGGCATGTCGTGTGTCACTCAAGAGGATTTTCATTGCTTCCGGTAAGCACAAGTTAACTAACGTGGTGGCCATCTTGTGCTCCTGATAGGGTTACTGGTTTAAAAATAAAAACCAGATTCTCAAATTGTATAGATCAGCATAAGGCAAATACAGTCCCGCAGGATAAGCTGCCTTTCACAATTAGTTCTAGCTCATAATTTGGAAAAAGTGAGTGAAAAGATGTATGCAATATACTAGGCAGGCATTTTTTGATAAACACCTGTGTGGAAATGCTAAGGGCTACTATGGCTAATGACATGAATAAATACATGAAAGCTCTTTTAAAAATGTGCACTACCATGATAAAATCAAAGCCATTTCACCTCTGGCAGCAGTCAGAGTGCAATGCTGGCAGGGTGCAACACTGCAGTAGTTCTGCACCAGTGCATCACCCCACAGCCAGAATTTACAACAGCAAAAGTAAACCCAGCACCTAATTTCATTAGTAGTTTTATGAACTGCCAAATTCCACAAATATTCTCATCCAGAACACCTATCACAGTCAGCTGGAGATCATCTTCCAATACGTTTGCAAGATCACGAAGTGGAAGGATCTTTAATGAAACAATTTAAGACACTGAAAATATTTTGCTCAAAGACAGCTGTAGGAGAAAAAGATACAAACTGGTAAATGTAATTCAGAAATACTTTTTGGCACTAATCCCATGCTCTTTGAAATCAAGAGGAATGGACAAGCAGGTGTGAAAAATAATTTCTTATTTACATTATATGTTAAAATAAAAATCCAGATCAATAAATTACACTAATTTCCACTAGTTAAGAAATAGGCTTTAAAGGCAAAGAGGAAAATAACCTCTCATGTTAACAGTAGATGCTACCTATAATTTCTAACAGATCTAATCACATCAAAAATATGCATTTGATTTGATTGTAAGCATGCTCAATTTTTATAAGGCATTTGCATAACCTGCAATTAGTTATAGTTGTGAGTCACTTCCATTCTAAACCCCATAGTTTCAAAGTTTCTTGAAGGGATCTTGTGGAAAGTAATTATTATTTTTTTTTCCTATGAAAATGTAAAAAAAATAAAAACCAACTCCAAAACAAAACAATTTTCAACATTTAATAATTACAAATTACAAAAGAAACTCTCCTGAATTTTCAAGTTCTTCATTTATATGGAACCAAATGCATCCTCAGCCTAAGGTGAAGATAGGTATTCCTGAATAGCAATGCTGTTAGCTCTGATGTATGCTATACACTTTTTGTTAACTTTGGAAATATGGGCTACCCTGATATGAATGTGATTCAAGAAGTTTATCCTTTACTCCATCAGAGGCTTGATCCCATAAAACAAATTATCCTAAATTCTTACTGATTTGAGTGTAATCAGAAGGTGCTCAGCAATATATAAACAGCATTTGTCATTACTCAGCTTTAAGACCAAAACCACAGTAAGTGTTTTCAGAGTTAGGCCCCTTCAGTTAGGCGCTTTACTTTTAATTTAGACAGCCAAATAAGCATTTCAGTTCTGAAACAATATAGATGCCCTCAAAAAGAAGATAGTTAATAAGTAAGAATTTAGCACCTGATTTTAAGGATCCTAAAGGAAGTATTTGTCTCACTGCACACACAGATTAATTTGTGGTGTAGACAGATTTACCTGTGCAAATGTGTTGCTTTCTCTTGTTCTTCCTTCATCTTAGTCATTGGAGGGGTTCCTCTGCGACATACGCCAGTCTCTAATCCTCTGGTAACAACGTTCTGGGTTTCTTCTATAAACACATCTATGTTAGTACACAGAACTTTGTGAATATTTATGAACACTCTCTACATGTTTAAAACCACAAACTGCATAAGTGCAATAAGCTTTATTGTTTAATCTATGAGGAAGAATGAATCTATCTCTACATAGTTACACAGATATTCAGTTCCCATCATAGTTCCTAGTAGTACAGTCCAAGCCCTACAAATCATTACATGTGAAATGGATTTGGGGATATATCAGTGTTGGTAGATGAATTCCTTTTCAGGAATGTGAATGCCATGTGATAATGCAAGCTTATTTTGAATTTAACTTTTGAAGAAGCCTCAGGAACCCTTTTTTAACAGGACTCTGACATGGAGTGGGGTGTGCTTAGCAAGCAGTGACAGAGCAATTGAAAGCCATCAGAAGTGATTTCTGCCGGGGTGATAACTGCAGGCAGGACAAATGATTTTGACTGATCTTACACAAAGAGGCAGCTAATGGGTTTGGGATGAGGAGTCAATGTAGGGGAAGTCCTTCAGGGGAAGCTAAGAGAGAAGAAAAGTCAAGAACCAGTTTAACAAAAAGGACTAAGTCTGCTCAAGGAGGATATTATTTCACTGCTAGAAGTATGATCACTGGGCCAAAAGGCTGGAAAGATCGTTTGACCAAAGAACTGGGACCGCATTAAGGACAAACTGAGTGAAGATGTTCATAGAAAATCACCATTTTCTGCTGATGCGAAGGTCTATGTGTCTTAGGAGCAAAACATGCAAATTTAAGAAATTATTTCGACCACCTTTTTTAAAGTCATCTCTGAGGAGAGTAAAGAGAAAATGTGAACATCTCACTGTCAAAGGGTCATTGGAAGGAACACACCTAAGCTACAGGGAACAGTAGCACTGACTCTAAGGACTCACTGAACCTCTCACGCATCTCATGTGGTCAAAAGTCTCCACTTGAAAATGCACCTCAAGCAACAGACTTGAAAACCATCTAGTGACAATGAAGAGCAAAGTATAACAAGGAGTTTGCAGATTTATCTCTCTCCTTTTCACTTTTTTCCCCAGCTTGGGACTGAGAAATATTGACAGAGGTGGGCATATACCTAGGGAGCACAGGCAGAATGAGGCATACATCCAAGAGAAATTTTTTTCCCCTATGGAAAATAAATATAAATCAAAACTTGGGGAGCACTTACCTAATCTGTCTCTAAACAGCTTTTTCTGAGATTCCTCCACTGCAGAGGTTTCTTTAATCTTGAAAGCAGGAATCTCACCAGACAGTGTTGAGGGTGGCAGATGTAGGCTTTTAACATCCTTGGCCCTATTCTCATTCTTTGATTCAGGCTCATGCTCCCTCCTTTTCAATTTTGTGGGATAATATAAAGACTGCTGAAGAGAAGAGCAAGCCTTGCTCTCTTTCAGTCTGGCAGCCCTGGTACTGGAATCGCTGCTGCTTGTGCTGCAGGAGAAATCTTGTCTTGAGATCCCTTGAATATCTTGTTTCCTTGGGGGTGACATGCTGTATTTTTTAACATACTTTATTTTAGTTCCACTGGGCTCATCACTAGCATAATCACCATCAGAGAGATCCAAATGTGCACAAGTATGATCTACTCCCTGAGGCCCATTCTGGGAGGGATACCGAGCATGGTGAGATTTGGAGTCATCATCGCTGCTGGAGGATAAGCAGCTTGATTCACAGGATGAAGATGCAACATACCATGCTGAGGCAGCTCTCCCTTTCCTTTGCCAGTCCTGCTTCAAGGCTGAGGATGAGCTTCCCTTCTCCACAGCCTCAGGTGAGCTACATGTCATTTTTACTATCTTATCATTGACCATCTTAAACCCAGTATTGATTTGTCTTTTGCTTTCTGAGCTCTGGCTCCCTGAAACAGGTTCCTGTGTGCAAGCCCGAGCCCACTTCTCACCCTGTGTGAACGCAGGGTCTGCACTCCACTGTGATTCCTTGATGTGATCTGGTTTTAAACCCTGTAGTAGAGAACGCTTTTGCAGGACCTCCAAGGGGTTTTTTGCTCCTTCTGTGTGATGACCCCTTAGAGGCCAATCCACCCTACCTAGGTGCTTTTTCAGGGTACCATGCACAGGTCTTCCATCAGTTCTGCCTGCTTGCCCAAGAGAATCCATATGACGATTTTCCTTTTCCTCGCCTACTTGCAGGTTCATTTCCATTAATGTTTCTGGACTTGGTTGCAGGATTTCAGGCCACCTTTTCTGTGGTGAGCCAGTGGGATTTGTGTTTTCATCTCTCCTGATCACTTGTTTTTCTTCTAAACTTTGCTCTACTATTTTTGCTTCACAGTCAGTCTGAGAATTTAACTCCCACTCAGCTGAAGCATTGTCTGCCTTATTTTCATGTGTACCAATCTTCCTGGAGCCACTGACCTGAAGACTGAAGTGAGAGCATTCCCCTAGGTGCAGTACACCTGCATTCACTTGGCCAGGCTGGGAGAAATGACCTGAGCAATCCAAACCAGCTCTTCTGGAATGCTTGTTGTCGTCTTTTAAAGGTTTCTGTTTATTTCTTCTGAGCCTTGCCATACCATCTTTTCGTTTCAGAAAAGCCTTCCGAGTTGTTACTTTTGCCTTGCTCTGAAAAAAACACCCAAAATCCTGACAATCAGAGTCTGAGAATTGCTCTCCAGAAAGATATAGAATCATAGACTCATGGACTGGTTTGGGTTGGAGAGGACCTTCAGTTCACCGAGTTCCAATCTCCCTGCAATGGGCAGGGGCACCTTCCACTAGATCAGGTTGCCCAAGGCTCTGTCCAACCTGGCCTTGAATCTTATTTATGATAACTGAAAAAGCTGAGACACCAGAAGGCTTAAAGACAGTGACTATGGATAGTGAGTATGTAAGTAACAGCCCTGAGGCTACAGGGAAGGCACAAGAACTTTTAGGAGCAGTTGTGATGTGCCACCTCCACTAATTCATTCGTAGAGTCAGATAGTTAGGATGGTGCTAAGTGTTTATATTATAGGTCATTAAAGTTCTGTCTTGCTTTGTTTTTAAAGGAAGTCTGAGTGCTTTTTACTATGTGGTACAGAAATATATAAGTGCCTCAGTTGGAGATTTTATTTCACCAGAGAGACATAAAGAAAATTCCAGAATGATGAGATGTTTGTCTCCCAAGTCAACAGGCCTAACAAAATGCTGAGTCTGATACCCCTAGACATAAGATCACCTCAAACTGCACATAAGGCAAAAACCAGAAAAGTATGATTGTACTTGGCCCTTTATAAAAACTGTATTTGGAAATATCCCCATTCTTGCATTAATGGCACATGAGAGACCGCATGAACCATTTATTCTGAAATAAACTGACAGAAACAACCTTGAGGTCTAATTCAGCTAAGTGACTTAGGCGCAAACTATGACCCGGAAAGTATGCGGAAAGAGAGGAAACCAGTGGAAAAGTGGGGAATATGTTTGTGACTGAGTTATATAGTTTATTTTACTTCTGGGGAAAATCTTCCAACATAGCATGAAAGAACACTGGGAAAACGTGCTGCCATGGAATGAGCCAAAACAGCCCACACAATACTCAGTGCCATGAGAACTTGTCAAGAGCAAAGTGAATGCACCAATGGCACAGTACCTGGTGCTCCTGCTGTTTTTCTAGGAGGTGATTGTCTACTTCAAGTTGTTCTTCAACAAATTCTTCAGAAGTATTCTGTCTAATACCAATTTCTGGTGTGACTGGCCTAGGTAAGGAACAAGAAGGTACTTATTTGTAAGGTTCTCCAATTAGTTTTCTTTTGATAGTTCTCATAGAACTGATGTTGAGTTTAGAACAGAAATGTTTGTTAAATGTGAAGCATGTTAACAAAAAGCCCACTATTATTTGACACCTAAGTCTCACTTTAAAAAATCCTGTCTACACTAAACGTTAATTATGCTTTTAGCAAGTAACATTTTTTGGCTGGCATCAGTCTTCCCTTAAAATTATAAAATACCAAAAGGAAAAATATTTCAGGCATTTTCTCCAGACTAGATCTGATTATAGTCACAAAGAACTCATCGTCTCTCTGACAGACTGGTTTGAATTAGAAGGTGAAGAGTGATAGAGGAGAAAAATAATGTCTATAATGTTGTGGAGGGACAAATTGAACCCTGACTTAAATTGAAGCAGAATATAGCATACATGAACAGATCTTATTTCATTGGAAATGTGCTTAGAGCCTTAATTTAGTTACTTGTTAGTAATTCCTACCAAATATTAAAAATTCCTGGGTTTAATAAAGGCATTGGTTACTCAGTGTATTACTGTACTTCTATACCCCACCTCTGTCTAACACCATTGTACCACTGATAATCTTTTTTTTGTCAGCCTAGCTCTGTCTGTTAGCATCAGCATGGGTTAACAGGATTAGATTTGTAGAGCATAACTGTTGTTGATGAGGACTCAACACCAAATAACGCTCATTTCAGGGAAGTTTATTTCAAGCCAACTATACCCTGGTCCCATAGTGAAAGTGTCACAAAGACCTGGAATATGTTCAGTGCTTTAGTTTCATCCATCTCATCCTAAGATCATGATGTGAACCAAAGCACAACAAGTGGGGATGACTGAGATATAGTTTCCAGAAGCTCACTGCTGGTCCAAAAAGGCATATGTGTACAGGCCTACTTGCCCAGAGTTGCTTATGGTCCTTCCACCCCTTCTCAGCCTTCAGTTCTGGAGGTTCCTGTCTTCCTCCTCTGCCTAACTCCCACACGGTTAATGCACTAAAACACACTTGTGAAAATTGTTCTCAGTCTGTACTTGCCTAGAAAGTTGCTGCTTTTCTTTTATACTTGATGGAAGTCTTGGTGTGCCAAAAAGCTGGTGCTTCTGTCTTCATCAGCTGAGGAAAGGTAACAACTCTACGAGCATTTCTTCCATCACTAATGCCAACCTACCCATTCTTGCCTAGCCATGGGCACCACCTCAGTGTGCTGGTACAACTCCTCCAACACAGTGATGAACCAGATCAGAGAACTGATCCAAGTTAAAAGTTACATCTCTTCAGATAACTTTACAAAGGATTACTTTGGTGACCTGCTCAGTATATAGGCACTTAAAAATTGGTCTTGGCACAGATGAACAGTCAGAGTAAGAACAAGAATGAGTGAGCTACTGAGACTGATGTTGCCATTGCAAACTGATGGCCACAGCAGAAGAAATGATGGCATAACAAAAGATGTTACCTTTCCCTGCCAAATTTTGTCTTACTTCTGTTCTTTGGAGATCATAGTTGCAAAACCAATCAATTTAAATTGGTTAAGCCAGCATCCCATTATGTAGAAGCAGATAAGCTGTAAATCCTTAGACCTGTCCAATCTCTGCCCATGCATACCTGCCACTCTCAAGCAAAGAGCCTTTGTGTTGCAAATGTAACATATAAAGTATGTGTACAGTCAAGAAAGACAAACTTTTGTAGCTTGACTGACTGCTTAAGATAACTTCTCACCTGTCTTCTATGTTTCCAGTCTTCATCTTTGCCTCTGCGTCAAAGGGAGATGGAGGAATCTTCTCCTTTATTTGTTCTCTTTGTTCTTTGACATCAGAAAAAATTTCAGGGAAACTCCTTTCTTCTAATTGACTGTTCTCTAAGCAGAAGGAAAAAGGTCAATGAAAACAAAGCTTTTATAGAATGAATAACTGAAAATAAACCTAATGAAATAAATTATAAATATTTATATTTTCAACAACATATGCAAGATTTTGATTTTTGAAAACACTTTATAGAATACAGTTGAGTTAAGTAGGTAGGAGGATGCAACCCATGAGAAAAAGAGGCACCTTATCCTCAAGACTAGTTGCTGGAAATAAGGAAAGGGTAAATGGCATGATTTATACTCCTTGTCTCTATACATTTGTAACAGTTGGTTAATGTGTTCACTGCAGAACATTGCAGTGAAGACACTTTGCTAGACAGTACTGAACTACTCATGTGTCTGTAATTGTGACCTGAAAGCCAGTTCATTAAACAGTTTAACAAGCAGTATTTGTACACATGAGCCTTTCTAACTGAGCATTTTCTATTCTATTTTCATTTTATTCTATTTTTCATTTCTATTCTATTTCACAAAAATGAACTTTGTCACCTGCCTTGCAGAGGTGACACAGCAGGTTGACTACAGCAAGGGATTTAGAACCCATGTATCACTCCTTACAATCTCGTGTGTGGCTATGCTGTCTCCAGAATGTAATAGAAGTGCCCCAGCACTGTAATTTTTAACTAGTGTTTCCCAGTGCAAGGCAAGAACAATGTGTCCAAGCAGCTCTGTAATTCACCTTTGTTTTCTTCTCTGTTTTCTTCTTGAGCATTTTGTCTGGCAAGTTTTTTTGTGGGGCTCTCAGTATGCTGAAGCAGTGGCTCTGTGCTTATCCCTTTAAATAAAGATGTGAAGTGTTATGCAGGTTGTTGGTACACTCATGTTTATGTCTCCAGCAGTAAAACCCCACACTTCTCACAACATTTAGGAAGGTCTCAGTTCAGCCCAGTCCCCATGCACACGATTAGCTGAAGCATATTTCAAAGGCAACTCCACTGACCAGCTTCCAGCTAGGAGTTAACCTGATGGAATAAGGTCTCTGAACCTTCTAGCCTTAGTTTAGCAACCATGAAACAGCTCTAAATTAGTGCTGCTGTCAAAAAAAAAAGCAGGCATACCTCCCCCTGTCCTCATGTGTTCTTGCTTTTAGGTTCCTGCTGTCATCTGCTCCCTGCTTCATTCTTTTGTGCTGGCACAAGTATTCCTGAAGCTCTCTGATAAATTTCACTGAGCAACTGACCCAGGTTCAGGTTAACACAGCAAGAAATAATAGTGCCAGGCACAAAAAAAGAGATAAGACTCGTTCAATGAGAGTATCAGTCCTGGACTAGCTTAAAGAATATGAAATTAAAGTTCCAATTGTACTATGGGACTGTCTCACAGCATCACAGTCAGGTCTTGCTATAAAAGTTCAAAGGAATCAAAGATGCTGGTCTGATTTACAACCTCTTTCCTTTTAAATGGATTCATTACCACTTCTTTTTATTCCTCTTCCCCACATTTTAAAATCAACTTTTAATTTGCTGTAAATTGCTCTTTCTTCTTTCTCAACCTTTGGTATCCCATTTCCTACTTCTTATTCTTCTCCCCCTAAGTACTGCCTACTTCATATAACTTATCTCTTCCAATTTAACGACTTTCTGCTCCATTTATATACAAGGCCCAGTTTCACTGTTAGTGTGAGAGGCAGGATGAATATGATTCAAAAAGCAAAAAAAGTCAAGTTTAAAATGCTTTAAAAGCTTTGATAACAAGCCCCTATCAACACAAAGCACCTTCCCCTGACCTGCAACAAAATCAGTAACAATCACTAGCAAGTGCAAAAACTCACAGGAGTTGCATGATAGCCTTAACTTCAGATTTCCAGTACTTTTTACCCACCTGAATCTGAAAGGTGCATGTGGTCTCCTGAGATTTCTGAACTGCTCTCATTTGGCATGAGCAGTGGAGATCTGCTTTGCTGAGCAGAGCACATTGCCAAGGGAGAGGTCTGTAAGTGCTCCAGGCGCTCAACTTGGGAAGAACTTTCTGTTGGGAACTGGACAGGAATGGCAGTAGCTGGACAGCACAGAAGGGGTGGCATTGTGGCTACTAGGTGAGAAATAGAAAAGCCTAAAAATATTTACCAGAGAACAATTAGGGAAGCATAAGACAAATATTTTGCACCAACCTGGAAATCTTTTGCTGAACTGGCATTGCACAGACACAATGTTGCTCTCTATTTCCCTGGTGGTTTGCATGTTCAGAGTGAAGTAAACAGATTCTGCATTTGTTATTTTATTTAAACTGTAAAACATGCTTTCTGCAACCACAAATCATAACCAAAATTATTGTTTGTTACAGGGATGCTGAACTACAGGGAATTTATAAATTCTGAGGGTGCAAACCAATATTTTCCCTAGAATTTCTTAAGTCCCTTAACAAGTAAAAGTTAAGTGTTGCAAAGGATCTCTGAGGCAAAAGAGTGGAAGGCACGCCTGGTTACACATCTTATTAGAAGTCTTCCAAGTGAAAAAGGTGTAACGAGTTCTGCACAGGGATCAGAGGCCAGTCTCACTACTTCCAGGAATGAAATCCCTCTATAAGGTTACAAAATCAGACTCACTTCTTATTTTCTTTCTCCACATCATGATTCCTTTTTGTCCTGTGCCCTGACTCCAACAAGAAGAGTAGAGTGCCTGCAACTGAAATTGCCTCATCCCCAGTTAAGGCATGTTTTGAAAGATTTGTGGATTCAAATGCTGTCAGAAACTATCTCAACAAAAACCCCAAACCCAACTCACTACTTCTGGGCAGATGCTCTAACCACACAGCTAGAAGACGGGCAGAGCCTCTTCTGTCTGTGTTACCATGACGCTTGGAATTAGAGTGAGAAAACTGATGCCAGGTCAATGCATAGATGCAGTCAGGGGGTCTTAGGCTGCTTCAGCTCCTACCACATGGATTAGGTGAAGCTGCCTCCTCAGCAGGTTATCTGAGGAGCAGCAGCAATCCAAGGATCACTTTTATCTTCCTATGTCCTTATGATGCTCCTTGTTATGTAGAAGCAGCCCTACCAAAGCCAAGCCAGTGCTGCCACAAGTCTGCATGATTTCCTTAAATACTCCTTTCACAATGGGGTCACACGCTGAGGAGAATGCATTACTACTGTGAACAGGGTGAGAAGGGAGCAGGGGGCTTTTCATTTTCCCGATTGCTGAGCAGATGGTGTTTTCTAGCAATGCTATTTGTATGATACCAGTAAAATGAAGCTGTCGAAGGAGTCTTATCATGGTGTGAGGAACAGGTGGCTGTACCATTAAATATATGAATCTACAACAGAAACAGGGTGCATTGACTTTCACTTCTTTTTTCAATTAAAAGCTGTAGCTTTCAAATATAGGTACAGGAAAAAAAGGGCTACTTCATCCTTTCTGTAATGCTCACCACTATACTATCATTTTTTGCAGTACCATTCAAATCTATATTTCAACAGAAGTCCACACAAGAAACTGTTATTAAACTTAAAGGACTCCTCCTCTTGGTTTTCCTGAAATTTTAATATACAAAGGTGGAAAGAAGTGTTGTCTGGGGTTTACAGCTTGTGTGCAATGAAATGAGTGTTTTAGCCCATCTGCCAGAGTCCCCAGCCACTGAAAACAACTATCAAACCTTCTATTTATTTAGGGAACTCTGCATTTCACTGCTGGAGTGCAAGCATCATCAAGTGAGGGTGCTGCAGCATCAGGAGGGATTCCCCAGGTACCTGGGTTGTAAAGTGCAATAATTTTCTGCTGTTCAGCCACCAGCCTTCGCAGCTGCTCCATCTGCTGCCTCATCATCTGGTCCTGCTGCTCTGGAGTCTGAAAATGCCATGAAGATAAAGTATCAAACTACATTTCTGGAAGGTTTTTTAAATAGAAAGAATTATCATATCTGGACTTTGGGGATAGGTATCTCTTAAAGTGCATTAGTTTTAATAAAGAATGTTGACATTTGTATTTAAGCGTCCACACAGATGGACACTTCTCTCACTTTTGTGCCTCAGCTTCTGTGGAAGGAAATCCCAGCATACGCACCAGAAGAAAAAGGTGATTGATGTGAGGCTGAGTAGCAAAACCTGGGAAGGCACATTCTACCTGCATGGTGTCGGTGTACCCTTTGAGCTGTAAAATGGCAAAAGATTTTTGCAAACTAACCTGTTCTGTGTTTTTGTAGGTGGAAGCACAATAGTTCACCCCACGCTCTGTGGCAGGGAGCAGAGGAGGAGTCAACATTTCTAAGGTGTCATTTGCATCATGAATTCCAGCTTGGGTTTCACTGGAAGCCAACTTTTGAGAGAAAAAATCAGAGCTGGCCAAATAATGTAACTCGCTTGCATGCTGAAAAGCTTGGTTGTGGCCCAAGTTATCTGCTGAGACATTACTGTTGCCCGCCATAGCACTGGCTTCTGAACTGTATAAAAGTGGACACTTCTTGCTGGAGGACTCACTCATATTCTCAACCCAACCTGAGGTAAAAGAAGGCATGACCTTATCAATTATTATATTGGAAGATGGTACCATGCTTGTCAGATCACTAGCAGTGTGCTGTGACATATGGTCTTCCTCCTTAAAAGCATCTGATTCCATGTCCTGCTTTTTGAAATCCATATTAGGGTTGTGCAATAAAAACCATCATGAAAAATGTGCCATACTGACATAGTAAATCTTGTGATTGTCTTCTTTCTTTTCTTTTATTTTTTATCCAAGAGATTATTCTTTTTAGGCCAGGCTGAACATAGAATATCTTCTGACTTCAGAAACTGTAATATATATAGAGAGATGTATTTATATTTTTATATATGCATAAGTATATATAAAATATATGTATGTGTGTATATATATATAAACACTCTTGGGACACATGCAATACAAGAAACCTGTAAAATCACAATATTTCTGCCAGCTAAAATGGCTTAGATGTACTGCCTCATCTTTCACTATTAAATCCTAAAGTTTGGACAAACAGGAACAGATGTAAGACTTGAAAACAATAGAAAACAGAACTCACCACTAGAAAGCATTTGCCAAAGTGTCCTGACCTTGCCATTCAGCTAGATCTTCAGCCGTTAAATTCAGAGAAAGTGCTCAATCTCCAAGGGTGACTGCAGAAAGAAAGGGATAGAGACAACAGAAGGAAACAGGAGAAAACGTGGCATGTGAAAAAAATCAAACAAAAACATCACTAGAAAACTGTCTGATGTTTAATGATCAGAGGAATGTTTATTTCAAATAGACAGAATGACACTGCTACAGCTTGCATCCTTTCTCCCTGAGACCAGTATGCCTGAGATGACTGCACAGCACAGACATTTTGCTTTCCCTCTTTAGGCACCTTGCCTCCAGTCCTTCTGAGGCAGGGGCCAGGCATTCGCTACTTACCTTAACAAATTGGGATAGGGGAATATATTTCAGCAGCTGAAGATAGTGAGCTCCCCATCTTGTCTGCTATGGGAGGATTCAAATGTGGTTTATTTTCATTCTTTGAGAAATGTGGAGTCTCCAAGAACTTAATTAACTTGCAAGAAAAATCATTTAATTCCTTCTTCCTGCTTTAATGTAAGTGGTTTGTTTAAGACCTATACACATCCTATGGATGCATCATGCGTAGCTAGGGAGCATTATGCTGTTTGCAGGCTTAAACTCCCTTTAGAAGAATCTACAGTTCCTCTGGAAACACTTTGGAAATCTACAAATTTAAACCAAAGGAAGTCCAGACTGTCTGGGCAGATGCTTATACACTAAAATAAGAACCCCACAGAATGGATCTTCAATAGGAATGAAAAGGGGGAATAAAAAGGATAGATCAGAAAGGATGGGCTAAGAAATCACACCTAGAGAAAAGAATAGAGCTCATAACCCTATATTGCAATTCCCTCCAAAGCCTAAGAGGGAACACAAAGGCCCAAGTCTCCCTTTTCCTCTGCTGTCAGCAACAGTATTGGATGTATTCCGGTATTGCACAGGCGTGGATATGATAATTTGCTTCTCCTTCAGAACCCCACTTCAGGTCAAACTCAAATGTACCTAAAAGTTGCAGCCTGCCAGGGGGTTTTCTGAATATAATGCTGTGTGCAAGTTGGTTGAGTCCTTTTTCTGTTTGCTTTTCTTTTTTTAAACTTGGGAAACAGCACATACCCACGAAAAACACTAAGCTGTTCCTGGGATTACAAAGTTCAAATGCTGAGCAGCTATCAGCTGCCAGTATGAAGGTTACTCTCAGTAGTAAGAGGCAATGCAAAGGCTGCTGGTGGCCTGTCCCACTGACATCACGTTTTGCACTAGGTGCATAGAGACTCCATGTCCTGGTCATGCTTTCTCCAAAATACAAATGAAGGAAATATAATCTGAAGACTAAGAATGGTGGGATCTGTAAACAGGCAATATTTGCTAAGAGTATCTCCAAACACATACTTCACTTTAGGCACCGCAGGGAATTAGTAAGCAGAAGCTCTCACCCACAGCCCTGATCCCTGCGGTTCTTCCTGGACTGCACCATTCAATCAAAGCCACGCCAAGCCCCCGCATCGCCAGGCAACAAAGTAATCCCTCAGTAAATATGGCCAAAGCCATATTCAAAACTGCTCCCTGTGAGGTAGAAATGCCTTTGCACAGCGCACCTTGGCAGCTGGACAAAGCAAACAAGGAAGCACAGAACAGGCTGACAATTGCCTTGTGAAGTGTCTGTGGGCATTCTCTGTTTTAGCAGATACCTTTCATTTCAAAACGCTTATAAAAACACTAACCTGTTCTTTCTCAGGTGGTCTCCTAATAAATATTTGACAAAATAAATAAGTAAAATACTTTGCACTTTCACAGAGCCTTCCAACCATGGAATTTTAAAGCACTCAATGTGTTAACCTCTTGCATATGGTCAGTATGTCTCTGTATATGTGACCTGATCTTTAACACTACTGAATCCTCACAAATTCCCCTGAAAACAAGAAGAAATCTAACTGAAAGCCCTGACAGTTCTAATAAGGTGCCCCAAAATAACACTAGGAAGTTAACCGTATGTGCTCAGGTCTGCAGACCTCAGCTGAGGCCTCAGAGCCAGCCTGGCAGCCATGCCATAGCTGCCAGTGATAGGCGCACAACAGGGGAGCCCTCTTCCCATAGCACTGTCTGAAAGAATTTTGGGAGAAGAATTTTCCTAAACCTGGGAGCAGTTGCCGGTGTCTCCCTACTGGAGACAGGAATGAGAAGTTATTATTTGTGAATTTTGCTTCTGCTTTTTAGAATTGTATTACTAAGAATGGGCAACAGCCATAAACTTGATGCATGTGGGGAAACAGGTCAGGGAGACCCGAATCAGTGGTGATAATTTTCTTTTAAGCAGCACAGAATATAGAATAATCAACAGGAACTGAAGTGCTGAACATATCCTTCACCCACTGCACTCTCCAAAATCTGATGGGTTTTTTATTATTCTATATCTGCATTGCTTTGATACCTAACAATCCCAGGCATGGATCTTGATCCTTCTCTGCTGGGAATGGTACAACACATAGCAAAATTACAATTATTTTATAATCTCGTGCAATTAAGTTAGCAGCTGCTTCATGGGTTAACTCTTGACTTCTGCAAACATGAACATACAATATAAAAAACAACAATAACATAAAAAGGGTTAAGTTTGTCCATTAATTCCCATTAACTTCTGTACGCTTTGGGACATGTCTAAAGTGATACAATGAAAAATATACATCAACACAAAAAATAAGTTATGCTTTTCCTTTCAAAAATACTAAGCTAGCCAATTCATTTTATAGGAGAAAACAGCTATCAGTAATACCAGAGCAGCACCTAGCCCTTCACACTTCAGAATGATTCAAACAGAAAGCAAGACTGGTATCAACCTAAACAAACTGGAGTTTCCAGATAGTCATGTTTAATTGCAATCTTCAAGCCTTTTGTTGTAAGAAATGTGCTGAAAAACACATTTAGAAGATGTATTGGATAATTATGTTTTTTTAAGTTATTAATGATTTTGTGATATGTTTATATTTGCTTATTTTTCATTATACTTTGAAATTTTTTTATTCTTATGCAATATGCAATTATTTGATGATGTAATAGGAAACCATACATTTATTTAAGGTGAGGAACATAGCCATTTACTTGTATTCAGTTCTTATTTGTCCCATATGACCACAACGGCTGGTGCATTTGAAAGCTACTATTTGGCAGCTGATAAAACTCATTACTGTGATCACTGACATCAAACAGTGGCAAATTATTTCTAATCTATGGCCAGTTCTGCACATGTTGTCTCAATATTTGCTACTGGAGCATTGCTGATGCCACTGAAGTCAAGAGGAGCAGTGCTGAAGGCCTTCCTGTGAGGTGGAGCAGCACTGCTCCTCACCCCAAGATATCTACCGCCTGTGCTGTGGCAATATATTTCTGCAAAGTCTGCATACCTTAATAGTGGTGCTTCTAGTATTTTCCTTTCTTTCTCCAAGTGGATTCCAGATCTTCTCCCAGCAAGATGCTTCCGGCTGCCTCCCTAGCAAGCTGGAGTCTTTAAAAGCAGCAAAAATATATGGCATAGACTCATTTTCCTCTTTTTATTTTCCACATCTCTCCTTTTCACTGAGGAGCCAGCAGCACGGGCAAATGCCTGATCCAACCAGCCTGTACTGCAGTGTGGAAGCAATAGCAGTTGTGTGATCTCCGTACTCAGCTTCTGGTACTTCTTCCGATTTTCTTTTTTTTTTTTTTTTTTGATAAGCAGCTTCAGATGGAGCTCATGTCTGCACCAGTACCTTGCTGCAAAAGCCTAATGTGAGGGCTTGCTCCTCCTGAATCAGTTACTTGTTCGTGAGGTTTGTTTACTAGCCTTGAGTGTACAACACCAGCAACTTAGCAACAGTACCCACAATTCCATGTAATGATCTAATTGGCATGAGTTACTCTCAACAAAGCTCATTTACCATCTACCACTTAGGATACTCTAGGATGTTTGAACTGCATATAATTTATCTTGGAAACCTCCAGGAGAGGTTTCTGTTACCTTGCACATTTCCCATTCAAGTTTCCCTATAGCAGAATCACTGTCACAGTTGAAAAGTTCTGAAGCAGTTTGCTTTGTTTTGCTTTGTCTTTGCAGCAAAAACAATACCTCCCTAAGACAAAACAAATAGGCATGGGCAACTCAATGAAACTTACCCTCTGAATAGAACAATAACTAAAAGCAGCTTGAGAATTGACTTCAGCCTTCCTCTCCTGTCATTCATTTCTATAAATTAAGCCCTACACAGAAGAGGAATTCACCAAATAGCCTGAAATTCTGAAATGGGCATATGATGCTTTTTTTCCTTCTACCATCGGATGCTGTGTCTCAGGAGAAAAGAAATTCTTAGGGAGAGTTAAGAAGGGTCAGAGTTTAATGCTCTGCAGACACTGGTAGCTGTCATGAAGGAAAAACAAGATTTCTGTTAACTGGAGTATGTCCCCACCACCCAAGAAAGAAAAATCAAGTAACTGGCAACGTGTACTGATATGAATCATAGAATCTAAATGGGTACAAATTCTCCAATTACACAAAGACAATTCAAAACCACAACAATGCAAAAAGACCTGGCTTTGGGAAAAAAAGTAAATTGTATGACTGTGTTGTGCTCTGTAATATGTCTCTGTTCATTCAGGCTGCAAATAAGCTTTGATTACATCTACAAAGTGATAACATCTGTTAAAGGTCTGACGTTCCCCTGCTTCCCTTGTGATGGGAAATCGGTACAGATACTGCGTTATGCTTCCAGACAATCTGTACGGGTTTTAACCACTAGAGGGAAATCTTGCATTATTCTGAGTGAGCAAACAGACTAAAATCGAAGCAGAGTAATTTTTAAAATGTAGCAATAGAAATAATTTTACATCTAAAAGAAACGCATGCTGTCTGAAATAATCTTAAGGGATTCTTAAGATAGTATCCATTTCTCACAATATGTTGTGAGAAAGATGATTCCAATGCATCATAATTCACCTATGACACATTAGTAAGACTATTTTAACTTTCATAATGGGTCTTTCTTAGAAATCAAACTTAGAAATCAAATTCACACATTCAAACAAAGAGTACACTATCTGTATCTTGTATTCCCTTTTCTCTTCCATTCTGTATTTTAATAATGGAATATGGAACATAGAAATTGTTTTTATAAAAAAATACTTGATACTATCAAAAATAATAACAGATTATGTGGACTAGAAGCAAAACTTGACCTGATATCTACTAGAAATTCATAGGTTAAAAACTGGATACTAGCAGAAGACAGACTAAAAATATCTCTGTAAAAGTTTTTCAGAAATGGGACAGAAAGCACAACAAAATCATGCCTGGATGATCCCATCCAGGCTAAGAATTGAACAAACAAAAAAATCACACAATTTGCTGGTAGTTAGATAGTTTTTGTCTTTTATAATTCCTAACTACTAGATAGCACAAATTCTTCACAAATAAAACTACAATGTAATGTACTGAAGTATCAGGACTGTCTATGTCTGATGTAAATTGAGATCACAGATATTCTCTATTTTGAAGAAAAGCTCTTACTTCAATGTTCAGCCATTGTTTCGTATGAAAGGAGATGAGTGTTCTCTACTTCCCCTAATCCTCAGTAAATCACAAGTTTATCATAGAATAAATCGGAAGAGACCTTAAAGATCATATATTTCCAACCCCCCTGCCATGGGATGGGATTAGAGATTAAATACATGTTATTAGATTAATTTGTATCAACCAAAAAAAGGTATAGGAATAGCAAAGATATGCTAAAACTGAATTAGATCTTAAAAAGTTTTGATGGAAGAATATTCATTTGACTGGTTTAACTCAGCTTTATACATATAGATCAAATTGATAATGCAGTAATTCAGTATGTATCTAATAACAAGGCAATGAAAATAAAGGAAAGATGATGACTCCACTAAAAATATGAATGATGCATCTAGATACGCAGTTGGGTTACACAATTCCATCAATCCAAAGAAAACTGACTATGGATATCAGTGAGAAAATTGTACAAATGACAAGGTTTTCAATTTGTGGGAAACTTTTTTTTGTTTGTTTTTTAGAGCTGCATTTTGCATAAACAGCTTCAAAGAGGCTACGAGCTCCTAACCGACAGGTGGTGACAGGCTGTGGTAGGAGGGAATAATATCCTGACTGCTCAACAACAGCATTAAAAGCACAGATTTTGAGTCTCTTTCAGTGGTTTTGTGAAATCGTTTCCTTGGTTTTATTATAGCATCTGGAAACTAACCGGAAACGTCAAAGCATTTTAGATGTTTCATGAGACAAACTGTTTTGACATATTTAAAATGTTATCATTTTAACTTAATCAAAAACTGTTTTTTCTAGTTCTGAAAGCTACCATCTTCTTGCTACTTCTGTAGCACCCACCCCACCCCACCCCCCCAAATTTTCACAATTCTAGTTAACAAGATTGCCCTACAAAGATCCAAAGCACAGATTGGTCTAAATAATGAAATCAGTTATGCATGTACTTAATGTACTTAATCATGTACTTAATCATTACCAGTACCCTTCCATGACAAAAACGTTCCTTTTTAGACTGTTTTTTCCCTGTTTCTCTTCAGTTTCCACTTGTTATCTCCAGCTGCTATTTACCTTCGCATATAATGTTCATTTTCTTTCGTCTGCCTTTCCTTGCTAGTACCAAGGCCCAAATGACTGATCTCCTCTGTCCACTGTGACTGTCTCGAAGGTTCACCAGGTTATAGTGATCACTCTTCTAAGAAAATGAATGAATAAATAGAAAAGGTACCACATAAAGTTTAATTGCCATGGGAAGAAAGTTGTCACTTTTTATGGGGAGCTGATTAATAAATAAGGTCCATTTTCCATATGAGATATGCCAGAAAACAGATGCAGCTTTAGGCTCCCTGCACTGAGATATTATGTCTTTATTTAACGCTGTGCACTGATAACCTACTTCCTTCTGAACTGATTAAATGGGAAGCATCAAGCAGGGCACCATGGAGCCACCAAAAGCAGAATGGAACCCACTAACAAGCAGAGACCTTGTACGTGCAGCCAATACCACAACCCAGCCCCCAGCTGAAGGAAGATATGAATTGTCTTCAAAGCTTATCAGCTGCATCTTCTGTGTGTACGACATGACGCAACACTGTATCTATACTTCTCTCTTTAAATTGGTACGAAATGAGGACCTGTATAAACCAAGTCTTTTTTGCTTCAAAAATAACCAATGGAATGCATGCAACAAAAAAAGAAAATTTTATAATGCACTTTCTATGCAGTGGACTACGCAGCTACCACAACATGAAAATAGTAAAAAGTAGTATCCATAGCAAGCTATGAAGTTACTATGAAAGAAACACTCAAGTTCCTATAAATCTGTGTTGTTTTCATGCCTTAAACTCCCAACCAACCCATTCACCTGTCACTTCTGTTGACATGTCCTCCAAAGAATATCTGAGGGCCTATTAGCAGCATCTACCAGCCAATCTGCCACTGAACATTGAGCAGTGGGGTTTTTCTCATTCACTGCTTTTGCTCTGAACTGGTCCTGCACTTTTACTTTACAGTAGATTTCACAAAAAAAGTGGTAAGAATGTTTTGCATGTAAATAAAATTTTTAACTACCCGCACTTCTGGCCTCTAGTTGCACTCGAAATTTGAGCAAGAAAGCTAGCACCCCATGTATCGGAGCTGCAGCTCTGCCTGCTCATCAGCCCCTTGAGAGCCCATCCTACGTTTCACCCTGTTTCTCCTAGAGACAGGGTGATTGTTCATGGCAATTGAGATTTTGGCTGTACCTCAAAGTGGATTTTTAGCAAGACCTTGACAGCAGCGCAATTCATACCTTATGTTCCACCCATGCACCATGTTTCCCATTCCTTTAGCAACACTTCTCACTCACAATAATCAAGGGACAGCTGGGTACCTTTTCTACTTTAAACATTGTTTCTAGTGAGCACTTTTCCCTCCCACAGCACAGCGGCCAGGGAGCTCTGTTGCCTCCTGTGTGAGGCAGATACCCCATCACTGCCATTCCAAGTTGACAGTGTCCCTCATGGTTACCAGGGGCTGGTAACCCGTAAGGAAGCCTCCTCCATGGGTAAAAAATCCTTTGCAATGAGGGTGGTGAAACACTGGCATGGGTTGCCCAGAGAGGTGGTGGATGCACCATCCCTGCAGACATTCAAGGCCAGTCTGGACTTGGTTCTGGGCAGCATGGTCTAGTTGAAGATGTCCCTGCTCATGCAAGGAGAGGTGGACTAGACAACCTTTGAAGGTCCCTTCCAACCCAAATTATTCTGTGGTTCTATGGTCTCCACCGGACATCTGTCAGCAAGTTCTCCCCAGAGGAACAGTGACAGGGCCAGCGACAGCGTTTTTGCCACCATCTCATTCCCCAGCTCCACCCCAGCAGCCACTTGTTCAGTGTTTGGATTGTTCAGTGGTTAAAGGCCAATGCAGGCATGGCAGCAGGGCCAGCAGGAGGGTGGGCATATGCTTTGGAGCCTTGCAGGGCTCTGCCCAAGAGCCACCATAGCGTTCACTGGGCTTCAGTCATCAACTTCCTACCCTAGGGCACACTCTTTCATGAAGCCTCTGAGGGAGAGAGCTATGCTGTTTAGATATGAGTGAAATTGCACTGAACGAGAGAATGTTTTCAAAGCAATACCTTAGCAAGAAACTCTTAGATCTAAAGGCATGTTTTCCTTTTCAGTAACATGGTTTATTGATTGAATTCTCTTCCAGAATATCATCAGTGCTACATACAACAAATGCATGCATCTGCATTTACATGATTTTGTATCATATTAGTGCAGAAGTTGCTATTCAGTCATGATAAATATATGCAATCTTTATCACACCTGGTGCTGATATTTAAAAACCTCACACTGCACTGTAAAAAAGGATGGATTGCACCAGCCAAGGCAGTGCTAGTTTTGGCCATATCAATGCCTTTCCTCCAGGAATGTTCAGCTCCAGCATTGACCTTCTTGGCCCTTTGGACTGCCACTAAACAATGTGGTTAGTAATCCAAGCTCTTCAGCTATGAACTTAAAACAGAACAACCAAGTTTAACAGCAATCTGCAAATTGCATTAATTTACACAGCATAGGAGTGCAATGTCCCACACAACAGCAAACCCAGACGTATGGTTTGTGCTCGCATCGCAGCAAAACTGTGGAGGACTGGCGGGTAGTTCAGCAGACTCCAAAGAGTGGTACTCCTCTCCTCTCCTCCACCCTGCCCCTCTACCCTCCAGTTCCTGCTCCTGTCAATCTTGCCATCCCACCATGACTGCTACGGTGTGGTGAAGCTCACTCAATGACCAGAAGATCCACTGAGGATTTGCTGAAAAGTCATGGCTAGGTAGAACTAATTGCATTTATTATAAATATTCCTATATTCATAGTGAGTCAAATGCTGACCCAGTAAAAATTCTGATCGAATTAAGTCAGACTCTGTTCTTATTTATAGATATAGTTCTTAATAATTTCTGAAGCTAGTAACATAAATTTTATATATGCATATTTTGGTAGTAAATCCATTCCTAATGAAACTTCACTAATGGCAGCTAAATACCAAGAAATGCATCATGCTTTGTCACTAGTCAAGTTCCAACAGAAAGTGCTGGAAATCTTGCAGTTCTGTACCGTTTGCTGCCTTTTAAAAAGTGGAGTGTGAAATTCATCTAGAAAGAAATAACTTTTCACAAAGAGACATTCACCAGGTTACCAGCTATTCCAGAACTGGAATCCTGTGCCTAAAGATGAGAAGAATCTCCCAAGCAAAGCCCCATTCTCTGTTCATAAGACACTCTCAGGAGATGTCATAAAACCTTTTTAGGGATATTTAAGTGTTCTTTTTAATTAATAATTTTCTTTTCTCCTAGTATTCTCTCTAGTAGACACTGTTGGCTTTGACCAGCCTTAGCCTTGGTTTAAGCAGGACCCAATGAGCAGGGGGGGGGGAGTGTAGTGCTGGGTCTACAAGACCTAACACCTAAGACCAGCTACGCCAGCAGCCTTGAACCTGTTCGTTCACTTCTGTTTGTCTTCCTTGCCATACTTTGCTAAAAATGCCATCTCTTTAGATTAGTATTGTCACAGTGTGACCTCTCTGCAACAAAAGCAGAGTGTAGATCTACACTTAAATAGGATTTCCAGAAGTAATTGACAGAAACCACATAAACATAAGTAGAATGAGCTTGGACATAGACTGATTCATTTGCTTAGTATTTTGGGGATATTTCAGTGATGTAGGACAGATGAAATGCAATTTTTCCTTAGAAAACAAGGGGGGGTTCCTCTGCAAACTTCATTTTCCTGATAATTCTAACAGACTGCACTTTAGGAGACAGTGAATGTTAGAGAGGTGAATAAGAGTTCAATTTTCCATAGGACTGTGCTATTCTTTTATTGTAATTCTTTTCCTGAGAGGAGCTGTAGATTGTGGCAGCTCCCTTAAAGGTCAGAGAAGCCCAAATGACTTGCAGTCACAAGCAGTGACACTGGTATGGGTTGCTCAGTGAGAAGAGTCCTTCAGTAGTAATGGTGTTCAAATCGTATTACATAGTAAAGGAAGACCCATTGTCAGTGAGAGTTTCACTAGTCTGTCTTGAATGATAAATATCAGAGTTTGTCCTTGAACCACGCTTATAGTATTTCTTGTATCTTATGCAATATAGGTCCTTCATTATCTTCACAAAATAACTTCTGAACTTCACTCCAATAAATGCATAAAGCACAGGGTTCATGCAACAATGTAAAAATGCTATAGCTTCTGTGGTGTATTTCGCATAGGCCATTATCTTGTCACTTTCACAAGATTTGTCTATCTTGCCCATATTTATGGCTGTCACGAGAAGAACAATATTATAAGGTACCTGGCAAACTAGGAAAACCGCTACAATTAATATAATCACACGGATTGCTTTGTTTCTCTTGGAATTCTGAGCTTGTTGTAAGGATTTCACAATGACTGTATAACAAAAAATCATGAATATGAAAGGTATGAAAAATCCAAATCCAACTTGTAGACACAACAGCAGTGATTTCAACATTGTGCTTTCAGACATTCTATCAAATTTCTGATCACAAATCTCTTTGGTTTCATTGATGGAGAAGCTGTAACTTTCACTGTATAGGAAAGAGGAAGTAGAGATTAAAATTGATGATACCCACACAGCCAAACAAATGAGTTTACTGTATGCGAGTGTTCTTGCCCTGAGTTTAAACGACTTTGTTGCCTGTACAATAGCAATGTACCGGTCCACGCTGATAAAGGCCAGAAGCAACATGCCACAGCTGAAGTTGATTGCATAGATACCTCTGGTGATTTTGCAAATGAAATCACCAAAAATCCATTTATCAGTAGCATAATTCACTGCCCACAGTGGAAGAGTGAGAACAAACAATATGTCTGCTATGGCCATGTTGAGGAGGTACACATCCGTCATGGACTTGGTTCTTTCATATAAAGCAAAGGTCATCACTACGAAGATGTTACCAACTAAGCCGATGATACAAATCAACGAATACGCAACTGGTAGAAATGCTTTTGTGAAGTTCCTGACTTCCAGTTTAGAACAAGGTTGTGTGATTAGAGAAGCGTAGTCTGAATAATACTGATATTCTGAGGTGCATGAATCTGTCTGTAAAAGAAAAGATCACCAGTTAATAGCAGAGGTATTAATCTCTAATTTCTATGTAGTAGAGGATAGATAACAAAGTCATAAAAATACAGTACCTTGGAAATCTTTCAAAAATTGGTATGCAATCATTATAGGGCGTGCTGATTTGAAATAGAAGTGAAATTTCTCTTATGATAACTGTGATACTTCGATTCAGTCCTTCTCATGTCTCAGCTTCAAGCCTATATCAAACTCATCTAAAGACAGTCCACATTACTTTTTCCTCCTGCATGTTTTACACTGTTTCCACCAACTACACAGTGAGAATTACAAATCACAAATTTGTAAAACCAATTACAAATACATTTAACACTGCAGAGGAGACTAATTCAGGAATTTCATAAAATCTGAATTAAAATATGAACATGGAGATAATCTTTTGGGGTGGACCAAAGGTTTCCACCTTAAAATACATTATGCAGGAAGGATTAGCCTGATGTCATAGAAGACCCTACAGTATAAAAGTCTGAATTTGAAGTTGGGGTCTAGACTTCCTTTAGTGTCACAGGATGGGAACAGGTCCTTCTAGCATGTTCTGCATTTCACACTAACATAGCTACTATACATCAAGCCCCAGAATGGTTACTTTTCTCCAGTTAGCTAGACAGGCAAACCAGGCAGGCTAACCTGAGACACACACCACAAACACCAAACCTGTAGTTACATTAGCAGAGTGCAAATAGAATAAAGAGTGTGACTTGACACCAAATTCTGCTGTCAGAAACACCTCCTCAGCTAATCACTCCTGCAATTAGGGCGTTTGAACCAGCAGCCTCAAAGAGCTGGGACTTCCAGATCCATTGCTTCATTGAGGTACTAATATAGTTTATCAGTTAAATACTTACACAATTCATTTTGGCAGTACGCTTCTCAGCAAGTAAACCGTTGAGAAGAACTTCAAAATACTTTCCCAAGTATTTCTGAAAAGAAAATAAAGTAGATCAGATTGGGAAAACAGCACAAGAAATGTGAGCAAGTAGAAAAAACACAATTGGAAATAGAACTCTCTTCAAAGAAGAATCTCATCACTTCAACTGTATCAACAATACAGAGGACCACCTCAACAAATCACACATTTCTGCAGCACAATGTACAGTTGTGGAAAGTGGCTGGTTTGTATCAGTATCATTAAAAGCACAATCTTACATATGGAATGTTTATTTATAAATGTAATAAACAATACATGAGAATATGTAACTCCTACTTAACGTTGACTTCGCACCACAAGAAATTAGAGTAGATTAAATTTTACTTTCAGAACTGTGTATAACACTGGCAATCAGTGTGTTGAGGGAAATGCAGAACAAATATCCGTAACAGTAATAGGGCACTGTGACTTTTTTGTTGGTTTTTTTGCTCTGGCATTTTATAAGTGTGTCTTGGCACTTTTAACATCACATTAATTGATGTTTTTTATTACACTACTGAGGCAAAATTAGAGTGCCATGATTAATTGCATTCTACTGTGTAACACAAACAGACTGAGCACTAGCATTGTTTTTCCTTTGTTCAGCACTCAGGTCTTCGTGTTACAGTCTGAACTCTATAGAAACAATTTATTTCTTCATCACTGTGATACTGAAGTATTTTACAAATGGTCATTAATTTGCACAACAGCCTATGGTGAGAAATTATTACTTTTATTCTGCAGGGAAGAAATGAGTCATTAGAGTAAGTAACCACTTGAAATGTCCAGTTTAAGATGCCTCTCCCCACCCCAACATCACTTTTAAGAGGGATTAGCATTAGGAAGGACTTCAGTTATGTAAAGGATTAAATCCGTTGACTCTGGTTGCAGCCAAGCTCAGACTTCTGCAAATCATACTACAGAGTCTAAAGTCGCAGACAGACAAAAAGGAGAACATGCCATTGTTGGCTACATGCGGAAAGCTGGGCTTGAATGACTTGTTTAACTTTACACAGGAACCCATGGGCAGGAGATTTAGTTCCTTGGCATTCCCTTGCATGAGTTCAGTCCTCCTTTCCATCAGCTGCCCTGTGAGACTGACACATGCCAGCAATTCAGTAATTGCAGGGACTGGGTGACATGAGGTTCCATGTTTGCTAAGGCTGTGAATAACAGTTTTGTCTAGACTTTGTCTGCTTTTTGTTAGTTGTGCTGCTAGTTAGGAAGTGTGCACAGGACAACTTTAAGCCTAGCTAAACAAATCCTTCCTGTCTGGGAATTGCCTGAATTTAGAGAGAGAGAGAAAGACAGATAATCTGTGAAAGTGGGGCAGATGCAGCCTGGATATAATTGGGAAGCTGGGGAGGGAAAGCACCAAACACCCTCCAAAAGCACAGTGAGGATGAGACTCTCTATGACTCCTTCTGGGAGGCTGGCTCATGACAGAAGACCGCAGATGGGTGAAGAGCCATGCTATATGATTTTGCTTAAGCATCACCGGTTCTCTGGTTCTCTGTCCTTTAAATAAGTCTTTAACCACCTCTCCAGCTTCCTCTGCTGTTTTTTCAAAGAAGCTGATTTTCAGAAGCTGCAGGAATATGACAGCCTGAAAACACTTGAAGACCTTCTGAAGCAAGCTTTAAACACTTTAAAATGTCTCTCATATGTAGAAAGGTAAAGCAAGCAGGTAAGTTGTGCAGTTCACCTGGGGCTGTTGTCCCCTCAGCCCATCTTTGTGCACCTCTAGTCTCCACCTGCTGTTTTACTGTCCTCTGACCCCATCCAACCAGATGCCCATGCCCTTGCTTTGTGTTTCTGTTACCCTTAGCACCTGGCTGCAGCTAGAGTAACTCTTCAGTGAGACAGCACTAAATGGGCACTTGTCTAGATTATTATTTTAGAAACTGTTATTTTATTGTTGTAAGAAAAATATCTTTCCAGGTATCCAATATCCGTATCTTTCTAGGACATACATGGTTAAAATATAGAAAGAGAGCCCTGAGAGCATATATTGTCTATAAAACAATCATTCTTCATTCCACTCAGCCAGATACTAGTATAACATGTAGAAGGAAGAAGACAGAGTGAAGGCATTTACAAGAAATGCCTGCAGCTTGCAAGCAGGGCTAAGAAAGGAGGTCTCTTCAGATTAGTACTGAAGAAGGGCTCTCTAGCCCTCAGAAGAGCTCAGCAGAAGCTTGCAGGGAAGAACAGCTACACATCACAGGAGAGCTCTGTGCTCTCCCTGATGCCATGGAAATTCACAGAGTCACCACCAGTAACACATTTATTCAGAAGAGGAGTTCCACTGTCCAGCAAACTTCATGAGGACAGTTGGTATGAGAGCAGTAGAAAAGGACTCAGCTGAAACCAGAATCAGATTTAGAACCTGATTTAAAGCTCTCAAGCCGATTTCCTTTTCTGAATTTGAAGCAGCATTCACTGAAGTTATTAAGAAGATGCACTTGCTGCAAAGGAAGTGGAATCAGAACTCTATAAACACTATTTTCTTTTCAATTTAAATCTTTCTAACAGTCTTTCAACACATACCTTTATAATTTATAATCTGCATATTTATGGCTTTATTTAGCATCAGTGTATTAGGAAATGATTAAAAATAAATTTCCACGTGTATATGGTTTGTGTGTGCTCTAACATTGTTCAAATGCTACCTATGGGCACATGTCTATGTGTGTGGACGCAAACATACTTATGTTCTGAATACTATATATATAAGCCTTGATTTTTTTTTAGCTTAGTATTTTTCCACTTTATCCACATTACTGTATTTCTTTTCACTATGAAAGCAATATATGAGTACTCAAAAGTAAGACTAAACTACAGTCTTAAATATGAATACATTATTTGAACTATACAAGCAAAAGACAATGGATAAAGAAAGACCTCAGCAAACAGACAGAATTCTATAAGGTTAAAAACTCAGTACTTGGAGGGAATCAAGAAATATTTTGTAAGCACTGCCCAGCATTGTAAGTGCACTGTGACTTATGTGCTCAGTTTAAAACATTGATCACATACACATACATTATAGATCACTTATTTTGTTTTGGTACTTACCAGATTTGAAAATGGTCTGAAGATCAGTGAAAGAGGATGTGTGATTCTGTTACATTCTTTTGTGGCTGCCTCAAGCACATTTACCATCAGCCTCCACAGGAGCACACTTTCATTTGAAAAACAAGAAATAACAGCAATAGTTAAAGGTACAGAATTAAATTGAAATAATTACCACTTCCTCCTGACAAGCAATAACAATAGCCTGTTTTTTTACGTAAAGGAAAATATTTAACCTTATCTATGCTGGAAGCAAGCAAGCTGGAGGCAAGTCATTTAGTCATTAGGCTACCTATGACTAATATACTAGCACTAGAATAATAAAAAGTAGGGTGCTAATTGTACTGTGCTCAGAACACAGCTGAATGATGGTCTATTTTTGCAAAGGGTGCACTTCATGTCATGCAGATGAGCAGTTTAATCATTAATTACTTAAATCAGCAAGATAACTTACAGTAGCTACTGTAACTGAGACAAGTGTTAGATACCAAATTGAATAACTGCTGGTTTTCTAAATAAAAACATAATAATCCGGTTTCTTTCAAGGTGTACGTTGTCCAACATTTTGTCTGAACTGTTAACATAAAATATGCAAGCTGAGGAAGGAACATGCAATTGTATTTGCCTGTTTGGCACAAACATTTGCTGTTTGTTTGCATGCTGCTTACGCCTGTGCTTAAAGTCAGTTGGATCTAGACATGAAAATACTTTATTTTATGATGTTTCTTTTCCAGGCCTTAGTTTCTGATAACTTAATGCAACTTAGATGTTGCATTAACAGGAAAAACAGAAATAGTAACAAACCCCTTCAAACTATCTATTTATTTTAGAGATTGTGTGTGTGAACTTTCAGTTGGAGCTTGATAGAGAGTTAGAGACCCCAGATGGCATTAATACAGACAGCCTTGTGAGATTAGAGTAAATTAATAGAATGTTGGAGCTAAAGAAATGCAAGGTGATAGATGTCATACAGATGTTTTCTAAGTTATGAGTTATTTCATGCTTTTAGTTAAATACTCAGCATGAATAACAGTCTTTCAGGTGAAGAATTCACCATGTAGGTGAACGCCCAAGTTAAAACTAGTTCAACTTACCTTCTCACTACGTTTTCTTTTGACCCAGTTAGAAAACCTGAACAGCCTTCCTTGCAGACACTTTGTGCTTCACTCTGTGGCAAATGGAAAGGGTTTTTTTCTTTTTGTCACAACCAGTTGAAAATCTGCATGCTATGCAAATGGAGCCCCCACATGTAGCTACTTCTTGTTCATATGTTAAAGCCCTGACAGAAAATCTGCTCTCGTTTAGCTAATGGTTATTGTGGTTTCTCAAATCTCACCATGTTAGTTTTCTGCCACCACTAATTAAGGAAATAAAATATTGAAAGATAAGGAAAACAAAACCATCATCTGGATTATTCCAGCACCCACAACCTGCTTCTGGAATGACGTGGGGTTTTTTAAATTCTAAAAGAAAGTAAGCACGCACCCCCCCACACACTGTGACATCCTGCTTTCATGTTCGTTCAGTTAAATTTAGATCAGTCTAATCTGATTCAAAAATCTAGCCATCTAGCTGAGGTTCTAGTCTCTCCAGACTACAAAATATAAACTATTTATTTACATTCAGGTTATGTTACCTATTCTTTTCTTTTAACATTATCCTCCTATATTGTCAATATGTTTGGGTTTTTTTTCTCATTAATTCTTTAAAACTTCCCTCTTCTGTTGGCATCTTGCTTTTCATTCCCTGACAAACATGCCTTTTTTCTTGTTTTGTAATTTCTGTATTTAGTTATTTATTCTCCCTATTTCTTCCTCTTTCTTTGTTCAGCTTTTCTAGATTTCTCTTATTTCCACCTCTTGTGTTCATAATTTCTCTCCAGTATTGCATTTTGTAGCACCACTCACTTGCTTTCCCTTTGGTCTTTTTTTGTTCACACTTTCAGCCTCACTCCTAGCTGATTCCATCTACCACCTGGTGTCAGATGCAGCCCTCCTCATGCAGATGTTAGGGACTGAAATAACATGATCCCAGCACTGACTTCTGTCCCACACTGACTGCTATCCATCAAAGTTTTAATTACTTGATCTCCTCTGCCAAACCAGTTGGAGAAGACAGAGCCTTCTTAAAGGCTCTCTACAGGGCTTCTGCCATGGGAGCAAATAGGGCTCAGGGGATTAAATGGATGGTGGTTCTAAGCGGAGCTCTTGGGAAGGAGAGAGACTGCATAACCAGCGTTTATGTCTCACCGTTAGCCCAAGACCTATGATTGCTCTTGTAAAACCTCACAACCTGCCAGTTTTCTTCAACCAATGCACTTGTTATTTAATTTGAAAATGGAGAAAAACTAAAAAGGATTGATGGGAAACAGTTTGCAGGTCATGTGAAAATGGTAAAGATTCAGATGTCATTTCTTCTTATACTGAACATGGAATTTCTGTGGGAAGAGCACAGTCATATGCAAAGCACTCCTCTGCTTCACTGCAGCATCATTTCTTAGAATCAGCCTAGCTCCAAACTGGCCTGGCTTCCAGAAAGAAGCATAAAGAGCAGAAAGAGTATCCTCCCATTGATAACCACCGGCTTCAGAAGGCTGGTTAAAAATATTTTCTTGGAGAAAATGTTGGTGGAAACAAAAGTTTTAAACAAAAAATGGATGGATTTTTGATGGAAGTTTGTGTAGTAAAGATGCCAATTTAGAAAACACATCAAGATGCACAGATGAGTTATTATACAGTTGTTTATGCTTTTATTCTCTTTTACAGTCTGAGCTTACAAATGAGACTACATATCCTAGTTTTGGTTAGAACAAGTAGGAAATAAGCAATATAATTCCATAGTCTAAGGTCTCACAGAAGCCTAGACAGGAAAAGGATTGGAATACATAAAGAGCAACAACCCCCACGAGACATAAGAGCAGCATTTTCTAGTTAACACATTTCAATTTTTCATCAAAATGTTTCTGGTATAACTAAAGGTGTTCTGAAGGAAGAGATATGGTTTACTGAAATTACGATTTTTTCCAATATGTGAAACAACTTGAGCAGACAATTTCCTATTCTTTAATTTAAGAACTTTCACCTGAATTACATTGTATTTGGTCTGTTTCCTACCATTGCCCTTCAGCTGCTTATCTCAGAGAACTTTAAGAACCATTTCTGGTGAAAGAATCTCCCAAGGTTATGCCAGAAGCAATGAGCTTTTACAGTGATGAACAGAATGATACAGTCCCTGTATTGCAGAAGGGCAGTTGAATGAACATGTCAGAGGCCTGTAATCTCACTGATCTACCTTCCCTGACCACAAGAAATTTATATGTACCAGAAAATAAATGTCTGCTCCTGAAATACCAAAGGAGAGAGAAAAACATGAGTGCCAGTCCCTTGTTCTCCACCATCTGCACAATGCAGTGGGAACAGATTGCTTCCATTGTAAAGATCCTTTCTGAGGTCATGGAGGGAGAAAGAGGTTTCATTCCTATGTCTCTCCTGCCCAGGAGTTCCCTTTGATCCCGTCTGGGAAAACAAATCCATGAAACCAAGCCCACATTACTACAACAGTTGCACGATATGTCATCATGAGACCAAACTTAACACAGCAGCTACACTGAAAGGCTTAAAATCCGATTCTTGCTAAAATTGATCTAGTTTGGTTTTAATGAAATGTATTACAACAAAGAAGACAGAATATTGGAAAGTATTTCCAAGTAACTGCTGCCTTCTGAAGCAAATGGTCCCCTGCAAGAAAGTTCTGCTGAATTGCCTGCTAATGTATGACTAATTTACACTAGGCTGTAGAGGACAAGTGAATTTCCGTATCAGAAGTGCTGCAGACACAAGGCAAAGAGGCAAGCAGAGTTAAACATGCAGTCACTGACATAATTTCTATGTTTTTGATGCTGTAGTCAGACCCTACCCGTTGTGGTTATGTTTTGGTTGTGTTTTGGGGTTTTTTTTTTTTGTTTCTCACTCAGTTTCTCACACTGTTTCATGTCTCATAGAAACAACTACCAAAGTAGTTTCTCAAAGCCTGTCATAAGCCTATACTCCCAAGCACTGACATTTCAACCTGAGTATGTTGAATTCATTAACCTGATTTCTTTTTAGAGTTAAACTTTCTTTATATGACTGTTTTTAGAAGAGACCCACACCATGGAATGCCCCAGTTACCTCTCTTTCCACGGCAGAGACCTTCATGGCCTGAGTAAGAGCTGAAAGAATTTAAAAGGCGCTTATATACCTAATGATGTAATTGGTCGTTCAGTATGGTAATTTCAAGGCATCTGGGATCCTGACTCCTGCCTAAAAGCACAAATGCTGAAATGGAATAGTTAAGTATGAAATTGTGTCTGCACAATATGCAGCCACTGCATGGGCTCAATATAGGTCAAAGACTTCTTTCCTTCTGGGTGGACCAAGAGGCAACATGTGTTTTTCAGCTCTGCCATTTTCCCAATTGTAAAGACAAATTGGAGTGGTTGGCTGGTCACTTCAGTGAGACAGTAACTCTCTCATTTTACCTGTACATCACGGTGCAGGCTGTAACCACTAACCACATCGCTGATCCGAGGCAACCTAGAGAAAAACTCCCACAAGAGATTGCTCTGCAAGGAGCAAAATCTTCTAGGTCTTCTGCACAGTGGGAACTACTGTTTCTAAACAGGCACCACTGAGATATCACTTGTTCAGATTCATGTAGGAAGGCGGTTGTGTTCTAATAACACATCCTACCTATGATCAGGTGTGGATCAGTGAGATAACCAAGCACATGTTCAAATCATTCTGGTTTAAATAAGTTTTAAGTATATTGGACACTTAACTCTTACTGCAGTCAATAGAAGCTAGGTATCTCAGTCTCTTTAGAGACTTGAGAGTACTCCTGAATTTCCATGTGGATTAGGAGGGAAAGCAAATTGGGGTGCTGTGCCAAGCAGATGACAGGGAGAGCAGTTGCTGGCACAGGATTCTCTGCAGCAAACAGCTAACACAGCTCTCAGAATTCATATTGCAGTGTACAGTGATAATTTCTCTTCCACTTCCCTTCTAAGAGCAGACAACTGCTGTTATCATTTGATCTTTAGGTCTTCATGCATGCAGTCACTCACTGGTGGTTAGTGATTTCATAAAATTGATTTTTCCACTGTGATTATACCCTGTGCCTGGAGCACTTCCTCTTCTTCCTTCTTCACCGCCCTTGGTATCTGCAGAGCTGTTTCTCTCACATTTTCTCACTCCTCTCTACGGCTGCAGCGGTTGTTGTGCAGGGCTCTTTCTCCCTCTTAACTATGTTATCCCAGAGGACATAGAAGGTGGCTATCACCATCACCAATGGGCTCAGCCTTGGCCAGCAGAGGGTCTGTCTTGGAGCCACCTGGCATGGGGAAAGATTCCACAGCTTCTCACAGAAGTCACCAGTGCTTATTGCAGAGGGGATTGGACTAGATGATTATTCTATGATTCTGTGTTCCTATGATTGTGTTGTGCAGCACAGACATGTTCTTTACTGAAGGGAAAAAGCATGGGTGTATATGAGGACACCCTTGAGAAAGCTGGCAACTGATAGCTACCCATGCCCCTCCTCCCCAGGATGCTTTGTTTGGCTCCAATTGAGATTTGGGAAAGTGTGCTAATATTAGCCACTTCCTGCCTCACTGCAGCTTCCTCCCTCTCTGTCGACCAGGGTTGGCTAACATCTAATTTTGCACTGACCCACCACTCACCCGCAGTGGGCTTCAACCACCCTGAAGCTTTAGGGCATGTCACAGGTATTGCCACCTAGATGCTAGCAGGGACATCCTCACCAGGATCTGCAGCTGTGCCAATGGCTCCTCTCTGTGTCCTCACACAAAGCAGTCTTGACTCTCTCTGCTTCGTTCTACGACGAGGGACAGGGAAGAACTGATCTTAACATGCCCCCGCAAAGTGCCTCACTTCAGAAAGGACCATCTGACAGATCTGTTTCTTTCACCCTCAAAGAATTCTTTCTGTCCATGTTCAGCATTGTTTGGAGTCAGGATGATACCCCAGCTAGGAATATTTGGGCCAGCAGTCTTGTTCTTTCATTACTTCACAGGGGCAATATTCCTTTTCCTATTTCAAAGCTTGGTTTCTCCCAGAATACTTCTGACTATTGCTAGCTTTCAGTGAATTGACACCTGGCCCAGCCGGTCGTTTTCATCTACCTGCTAAACAGTCATAAAGTAGAGAATTTTGCTGAAATAGGAAAGCAGCTGCCACTAATACAGGACTTTTGCTGCAGTTTTCCCAGTAATTTTATGTGATAAACACCATGCCTCAGCTGTGCTGGTGAAGGGGACAGACTCCTACCAACTGAGCTCAGACAGGAGGTTCCTGGAAGTCCTGAAGTAATCACGTGGGGCTGCTTAAAATATTTAATACAAACACAGCAAAAGAGCTTGTGCTGT